TGGGGTAAATAGACCTTGACATTTGGGAGTTGTAGTTGCTGGGATTTATAGTTCACCTACAATCAAAGAACATTCTGAATTCCACCAACGACGAAATTGGGCCAAACTTCCCACACAGAACCCCGATTGCTTGAAGGGACTCTTAAGAAAGACAAGAGTTTCCAGCCACCCCAACCTCTCTCTCTCTTGCTCTTCTGCCGCCTCCGTAGCTGAACACTTGTCAGCATACAAAGGTCACAACTGACACATCAAAGGTTCTTGCCAAATTCACGTGCCTTTCTCAGAATATAAGATTATGAAGGTGGGAGGAGAACGGTTCCCCCGTCTATTAAATGCCGGGTGGGCGGGGATGACGCGGAATCGAACGAAGATCTCATTCTGTGGCTCGATTTCCATACGAAGACAACAACAGGAATACACAGATGGAGCTTCCGTCTAAATATAGAGGAGCCGAAGACGCTTCAAAACACACACGCGGGGTTCCAAGTTAATAATCGTCGGAGGTTTGATCAGAAGGGGGAAAATGCCATCAAATAGCCAGAAAGTGGGCACTTTGCAGGCAAAAGAAGCAGTCTCTCTTACGTGTTCTCCAAGCAGGTTGGATTATATATATATATATGGCATTATTATGGTACCCTTCTCACCCCAAAGAGGACTCAGAGCGGCTTGCAAGATATATATACACACACATATATACATACATACATACATACATACATATACATACACTAGCCGTCCCCTGCCACGCGTTGCTGTGGCGCACATGGGGGTTCTGTGTACCAGGTTTGGTTCAATTCCATCATTGGTGGGGTTCAGAATGTTCTGTGATTGTAGGTGAACTAGAAACCCCAGCAACTACAACTCCCAAATGTCAAGATTCTATTTTTCCCAAACTCCACCAGTGTTCACATTTGGGCATATTAAGTATCCGTGTAGAGTTTGGTCCAGATCCATCATTGTTTGAGTGCACAGTGATCTCTGGATGTAGGTGAACTACAACTCCAAAACCAAAGGACACTGCCCGCCACCCCTGCCAGTGTTTTCTGTTGGTCATGGGAGAACTGTGTGCCAAGTTTGGTTCAATTCCATCGTTGATGGGGTTCAGAATGCTCTTTGATTGTAGGTGAACTAGAAACCCCAGCAACTACAACTCCAAAATGTCAAGATTCTATTTTCCCCAAACTCCACCAGTGTTCACATTTGGGTATATTGAGTATTCGTGCCAAGTTTGGTCCAGATCCATCATTGTTTGAGTCCACAGTGATCTCTGAATGTAGGTGAACTACAACTCCAAAACTAAAGGATACTGCCCACCAAACCCTTCCAGTATTTTCTATCGGTCATGGGAGAACTGTGTGCCAAGTTTGGTTCAATTCCATCGTTGGTGGGGTTCAGAATGCTCTTTGATTGTAGGTGAACTATAAATCCCAGCAACTACAACTCCCAAATGACAAAATCAATGTTTTGAGTGAAGGACATACATTGGGTTAGATGTCTTCTGTCCAAATTTGGTGTCAATTTGTCCAGTGGTTTTTGAGTTCTGTTAATCCCACAAATGAACATTACATTTTTATTTATATAGATATACACACACACATATACATGCATACACACCCACACACACAATATATTATATTATTAGCATAGCACAATATCAGTATTATATATTACTATATTGTACTATACCATCATAGTGTAATATTATTAATAATCTATATAAATAACAATATAATGTTCGTTTGTGGGATTAACAGAACTCAAAAAACCACTGGACGAACTGACCCCAAATTTGGACACAAGACACCTAACAACCCAATGTATGCTCTTCACTCAAATAAACTGATTTTGTCATTTGGGAATTGTAGTTGTTGAGATTTATAGTTCACCTACAATCAAAGAACATTCTGCATTCCACCAATGATGGAATTGAACCAACTTGGCATACAGTTCTCCCATGACCAACAGAAAATACTGGAAGGGTTTGGTGGGCAGTGTCCTTTGGTTTTGGAGTTGTAGTTCACCTACATCCAGAGATCACTGTGGACTCAAACAATGATGGATCTGGACCAAACTCCACACAAATACTCAATATGCCCAAATGTGAACACTGGTGGAGTTTGGGGAAAATAGAATCTTGACATTTGGGAGTTGTAGTTGCTGGGATTTATAGTTCACCTACAATCACAGAGCATTCTGAACCCCATCAACGATAGAATTGGGCCAAACCTCCCACACAGAACCCCCATGTGGGCCACAGCAACACGTGGCAGGGGACGGCTAGTATTACATATAAAATCTATATAAATAAAAATGTGATGTTATTTTGTGGGATTAACAGAACTCAAAATCCACTGTACAAATTGACACCAAATTTGAACATGATACACCTGTCAGGCCAACAAGTGGCCATCACTCAGAAAAACACAGCAGAAGAGACTTAAAAAGCCAAAAAAATATTTAAAATACATTGCAACGCATGCGCAGAACCACACATATATACACACACAAAACACTTATACACAGACTGGGCCACAGCAACGTGTGGCAGGGGATGGCTAGTAAAATAGATAATTATAATATCTTCTTCTTCTTCTTCTTCTTCTTATTATTATTATTAATATATTGTATTACATTATAATATTAAAATATTATATGTATATACAATATATAATATAATATAATATAATATAATATTATATTATATTATATTATATTATATTATATTATTAGCATAACACAGGAGACAAGATGGAACTGTCTTTCTGGGGCCCTTCTTGTCACTCTGGTCCCAGATATAGCTCTATCATACTCTGGTTGGGGATGATGGATGAGGTCAACACATTTGGAGATGTCTGATTTTTGAAGGCTATTTTACAGGCCCACATTGCCCTTCTTCTTTATTGCTATATGTATATACATGCATATGTATATGTGTGTGTATAAAATGCATATAGGAGTCTCTAGTGGTGCAGCAAGTGAAACTGCTGAGCTGCTGAACTTGCTGGCTGAAAGGTTAGTGGTTCGAATCCAGGGAGCTGAGTAAGCTCCCACTGTTAGCCCCAGCTCCTGCCAACCTAGCAGTTGTAAAGCATGCAAATGTGAGTAGATCAATACCTACTGCTTCAGCGGGAAGGTAACGGTTCTCCATGCAGTCATGCTGGCCACATGACCTTAGAGGTGTCTACGGACAACACCGGCTCTTCAGCTTAGAAATGGAGATGAGCACCAACCCCCAGAGTCGGGCATGACTAGACTTAATGTCTGTTGTGGTTCAGTCTGAGCCTGAGATTTCTGAGTCTGAGTTTCCTCAGGACGAGGAGGATGATGGGTTACAGATTTCTGAACATGCCCCTGTTGTTGATGCAGACAGTGTTGATACTGAAGACGAGGCGGCGTTTCAGTTTCCCAGGGAAAGGAATGTTGTTTTTGAAGATGGTCATGATTTGAGTGCAGGTGGAGGAATCACCCGCTCCATCTGTGAGTTCAGTGCCTGTCGATTCCCAGGCTGGCCAGTCCCAGGATAATGAGTTATTCGGCCTTGAAGGTGATGGGGATTTGGTTAGGGAGGACCGTTTGCAATTAAGGGTACGCCGAAGTGCTCGACTTGCTAACAAACGGGAAGTTTGAGGTCAACACAATGCTTTCATGCTAGGGAAACATATTTAACGATCTGATTGAAGTCAACCCTTTGTCAGTGCAACTTTGCTCACACCCTGTTAACTTCTCTGGAATTGCCTCGGCTTTAGGGGAAAGCTTTTGGCTCTTTGGGACTTTGGTTTTGATCTTGGCTTTTTGGGGACTTTGTTTTGCTGCCATGGATTCTTCTTTGACCAATGCTTGTGGATTATACTTCATGTTATTTGCCTTTCGACCTTGGAAATTCTGACTTTGCATTTGAGACTCTGTTTTGGCTATTGAACTTTTGCAACCTTATTTCTATGTTTATGATTTTACTTTTTCTTCAAGAAACTACAAAACCTACAGCTTCGGTGTGTGGTGGTGTTCTGAGCAAGGTGAATCTATCCTGAGTTGCGACAATGTCAAGGAAACCTTTACCTTTACTATATATAACACATACATACATAATTATTGGGTTATTGTGTGTTTTCTGGGCTGTATGGCCATGTTCCAGAAGCATTCTCTCCTGACATTTTACATACATCTACGGCAGGCATCCTCAGAGGTTGTGAGGTCTGTCAACAGTCTCTGTCGACAGAGAGAAAGAGAGGGAAAAGAAAAAAGGGAAAGGTACGAGGGGAGGAATGAAAGCGATAGAAGGGATGAAGGAAGAAAGGGGAGAGAGGAAAAGAAGGAAAGAAGAAAGAAGGAAGAGTAAAGAAGGAAGGAAATGAATGGAAAGGAAAGAAGGAAAGGAAAGGAAAGGAAAGGAAAGAAGGAAAACAGGGAGGAAAGAAGGAAAGAAGGAAGGAAAGAAGAAAAGAAGGAAGGAAGGAAGGAAGAAAGGAAGGAAAGAAGAAAGGAAGGAAGGAAGGAAGGGGAGAGAGGAAAAGAAGGAAAGAAGAAAGAAGAGAAAAGAAGGAAGGAAAGGAACGGAAAGGAAAGAAGGAAAAGAAAGGAACGGAAAGAAGGAAAACAGGAAGGAAAGAACGAAAGAAGGAAGGAAAGAAGAAAAGAAGGAAGGAAGGAAGAAGAGAAGGAAGGAAGGAAAGGGAGGAAGGAAGAAGAAAAGAAAGAAAGAAAGAAAGAAAGAAAGAAAGAAGGAAAGAAAGAAAGGGAAGGAAGGTGCATGAGGGACAGCAAGGGAAGAAGGGAAGAAAGGAGGAGTGAAGGTATATGAGGGAAGCAGAGGAAGGAAAGAGCCACAAAGACAGCTTGTCGAAAGAGAGTTATTATGGAGAAATTGTCAGGTAGCCCTCTCAGAGCTGGAGAAGGGAGAAAGCAGGTGGGCAGGGCCTTTTTCCAACTACTAGGCAACAACAGGTAAATATGCTACCGGTAGTTAAAAACAAAACAATTCGGGTATCATGTCCCCTCTTTACCTGCGGGAACTTGCGCTTGATGGAGGTCAAAGCTCCTTCAGGAAGCTTGGCCAGCTCCGAATCGCGGACGGCGTGTACCGACGTGGCTCTGGGCTGATGAGTCAAAGCTTCAACCTGAGAGAGAGGGAAGAAGGAAGAAGAAACACTGCTGAGAAGCCGCCATCGGAGAATCACAGAGTTGGAAGAGACCTCATGGACCATCCAGCCCAACCCCATTCTGTCACGAAGCAGGAAAATTGCATTTAAAGCACCCCCCGACAGATGGCCATCCAGCCTCTGTTTCAAGGCCTCCAAAGAAGGAGCCTCCACCACACTCCGGGGCAGAGAGTTCCGCTGCTGAACAGCTCTCACAATTAGTGATTTCTGATGGTCTTTGGTGACCCCTCTGACACCTCCTCGCAATCCCCCCAGGTATCCCAACCCCCAGGTTGAGAAATGCTGCTCTATAGTTTCAAAGTTTCTCCTCTATGTTTAAGAGCTTCAACCAAAGTAGATAGGAACACAGAAATAATGCTTTTTCACACTTTTTGGGCTTTTGAACATTCCCCAAAGCTTGAGAAACGGCAAGTTGAATGAATGGAGGACTAGTTGGACAGGCCTTTGGATGGGGAATGGCCTCTGCTGGTACATGCCCCTGATATTTATGAGTTGAATTAACGGGATTGTTTAGAGGAGGTGATAATATCTTTACCTCCTGGAGCGTAAAATAGGATTCAGTGCCTCCCAGTGCTGGCTGGGCACAGCGTTTGCTAATTTAATTTCATCTTCTGGACAATATATCACCGGCTCCTGGACAAAGCAACACTGCAGCGGAAGTGCCTTTGAAGAGTCTGCTGAAAAGAAGGACGCCAGCAGACTAAATCATAGGCTTTTAAGATTTCGCCAACCAGAGTAGAAAAGTTTGGGTCTCGTCACTGGTTTCAATTAAAAAAACGAAATTGTAATGTGTTGATTCAGAGCAGGTATGAGGGGCATTTATTAAAAATGTCTCCTGACCTACTTCTATTTCTCACAGGATGCTGACTGCACATGTGTCATGATGTAAGGCTCTATAGGTTACATGCCAATTTCCAACTCTGAACTGACCACGGTCTTGATGTGACAGGTGCTGAAGTGGTGTGAGGTTTGAGAATGGACCCAATGGAATACAGAGCAGTCCTCAAGTTCCTTTACTCGAAAGTCTGCACACCACAGGAGACGTTCGATGAGATGAAAGAGGTTCATGGTGAGGATTCTCATCATATGATGGAGTCAAGAATTGGCATTGTCAATCCCAATGTGGTCGGACATTGGTGCAAACAGCTCCAATTCCAGGGCGACCCCACTCTGCTATTGAGGAACACACCATCCAGCAAGTGGAGGTCGCCATTTTGGAAAATTGCCGCGTAACCATTTATCCCCAGAGTATATTTCCCCACCTGTATGAAGGTCTATATTTATGACCTCATTCCTTTATGAGTTTCTCCCCCACAATCAATCTGCTCCATTCCTATTTCATCCTGATTTTAGTAGTTTTAGTATCTTAGTTTTTATTTTGCACATGCGACCCGCTCATTGCTATGTTATGTTATATTATATTATTTTATTGTGTATGATTTTGCTTTATCGTTTTTGTACACATATGTTGTATGTATTTTACTGTGTTGTTATTGTGTTTTGGTTTTACTTTATTGTAATATGCTGTTGGGCTTGGCCTCATGTAAGTCGCCCTGAGTCCCCATTGGGGAGATGGTGGCGGGGTATTAAATAAAGATTATTATTATTATTACTATTACTAGCTGTGCCCTGCCACACGTTGCTGTGGCCTATAGTAAATCTTTTCAAAGTAGAGGTAGATATCTGGAATATTATGAAAGAGAGGTACCTACCTATTCCTTCCCCCTTTTTCTCCCCTTTCTCTCCTTTCTTCCTTCTCTTCCTCTTTCTTTCTTTCTTTCTTTCTTTCTTTCTTTCTTTCTTTCTTTCTTTCTTTCTTTCACTACTTGGTTTCATCCTTCTCTCTTTCCTTCATTCCCTCCCCCTTTCTTCCTTTGACTTTCTTCCCTCCCTGTTTGCTTCCTTCTTTCACTTTTTCTTTTTCTCCTTCCTTCTTTACCTCTTTCCTGCCTTTCCTTCCTTTTATTTTTCTTTCCTTTCTACTTTCTCTTCTTCCTTCCTTCGGTACCTCTTTCTTTCCTGCCTTCCCTCCTTCCTTTCTTCCTTCCCAATGCTTGGATCCCAATGCTTCCAATCCCTCCTGACAGAGGGCCATCCAGACTCTGAGTCATATTGGAAGGGCCCCCCAAAGGACACCTACTCCAAACCCATTCTGCCAGGGAGGGGAACACCATCCGATCCCTCCTGACAGAGGACCATCCAGACTCTGAGACATATTGGAAGGGTTCTCCAAAGGACACCTACTCCAAACCCAATTTCCGTTGGGGTTTTTTTGAGTTTTGCTGTCCCGTTGGACGCCCCTTACAGATTTATAGATATAGATTATTATTATTCATTACCTAGCCCAAAATGTCAAGATGAGTGTGGGGTCTGTAGAAAAAATCACCCAAGACCATCTTCCCATGCATCGCTGGGTCCCCCGGCTGCTCACACCTTTCCAGAAGCAGGAAAGAGTCAAATGTTCTCAGGCTCTCTTGACAACGATGTGCCATGGAAACCAAGAGGACTTTCTCCACACACGGAACACACAGGATGAAAGCTGGGTCCATCACTCTGATCCTGAGATTCAAGTCCAGTCGATGCAATGGAAGCATCCTGACTCACCACCTCCAAAGAAGGCACGTGCCCAACTCTCAGCAAGCAAGGTTATGCTCACAGTATTTTGGATGGGTTTCCTTGCACAGGGGACCATGGTAACTGGGGCAGACTAGGCTTCACTGCTGCAGACATTGCAGGAGGCCATCCAAACCAAGACAACGTGGCATGCTCACCAAAGGTGTCTGCCTTCTGCAAGACAAGACATCCGTTGACAGCTCCCATGTTGACAAAATGGAAGAAGCATGATCCCCTGGCTTTGTAATTCAACCACATCCCCATTCTTCACCCGACCTCGCACCATCGGACTTCCACCTCTTTCTGACAATGAAGTTATTTTGGAAGGGCAAGCCTTTTTCAGAGGATGAGACTCTGATTTCCTGTCACAACGTAGTTTTTGGAGCAATCTGTCGTCTTCTACAAGTGAGATGTTTACAATGGCTTCAAAAGATGGGAGAAGTGTGTGTTCCAAGGTGGGACCCATAGACAGAAGTTGCATTGGTCTTGGTCCACAGGAAGTGGGTCAGGGGACATCTTTAATGAACGCCCCTTATAACACCACCGTCAGCGAAGGCAAGAGTTTTCTTCCCTAATTAAAAAAAGATCAGGGGTGCTAATGAAAACTCTAAATCTTCCCCCGTTAGGGAATATAAGCAAAGCGTCACGTTGCAGAGTTGTTGCGATCGAAGGCATTACAAAGATTTTAAAAAACATGCCTCTGGGACATCAAGGAATTTATTGATCTCTCTCGATAAATGTCAAAGTATACACGTTTGTCTGTCTGTGCCACAAAAGCTGTTGCTAGGTGAAAGACTGGCTGTTGCAAGGTGGAGTAGCCCTCTGCAATGTGTCTGGGAAAGAAAGAGGACACGTGTATGAGGGGAAGGGAGGGAGGGAGGGAGCAGACACAAAGAGAGCCATCTTGCCATGGAAGCAATGTGAAGTAGGCCTTCTCAAAGCTGGAGAAGGGAGAAAGCAGGCCTTCTCAAACCTGTACAAGGGAGAAAGCAGGTCTACTCAGAGTTGAAGAAGGGAGAAAATAGGTCTCGGAGCTGGAGAAAGCAGACCTTCTCAGAGCTGATAAGAGAAAGTTGGCCTTCTCAGAGCTGGAGAAGGAAGAAAGCAGGCCTTCTCAGAGCTGTACAAGGGAGAAAGCAGGTCTTCTCAGAGTTGGAGAAGGGAGAAAATAGGTCTCGGAGCTGGAGAAAGCAGGCTTTCTCAGAGCTGATAAGAGAAAGTACGCCTTCTCAGAGATGGAGAAGGGGAATGTAGGCCTTCTCAGAACTGATAAGAGAAAGTTGGCCTCAGAGCTGGAGAAGGGGGAAAGCAGATCTTCTCAGAATTGGAGAAAGGAGAAAATAGGTCTCAGAGCTGGAGAAAGCAGGCTTTCTCAGAACTGTTAAGAGAAAGTTGGCCTTCTCAGAGCTGGAGAAGGAAAAAAGCAGGCCTTCTCAGAGCTGGAGAAGGGAGAAAGCAGGCTGTCTCAGAACCAAAAAGAGAAAGTAGGCCTTTTCAAAGCTGGAGAAGGAAGAAAGCAGACCTTCTGAGCTGGAAAAGGGAGAAAGCAGGCTGTCTCAGAACCAAAAAGAGAAAGTAGGCCCTTTCAAAGCTGGAGAAGGAAGAAAGCAGACCTTCTGAACTGGAAAAGGGAGAAAGTAGGCCTTCTCAGAGCAGTTGTAAGAAAGTAGACCTCAGAACTGGAGAAAGGAGAAAGCAGACCTCCTCAGAGCTGGAGAAGGTAAAAAGCAAGCCTTCTCAGAGCTAATAAGAGAAAGTAGAACCCAGAGTTGGAGAAGGGAGAAAGCAGACCTCCTCAGAGCTGGAGAAGGGAGAAAGCAGGTCTTCTCAGAGCTGGAGAAGGGAGAAAGCAGGCAGGCAGAGGTTATGGGTTAACCCATGTATTCCATAGCCTAACTTTTCAAGGAAAGAGCACTTAGATTTGTCCATGACATTACTCTGGACTTACTCCTGAGTGGAAGAAAAGCCAAAACACCCGCAATGAATGACAAAAGAACCTTAGCCTCTCCTTTGTTCTGCGAGTAATTGAATGAGCCGGTCATTGTAGATATAAAACTTGTTCACCCGTGGCCCGACTGAAACTGACAAGGGGAGCTAAGGACAGAGCCGTAAATTGCACAAAGCACTTCCTGCGGATTCCTCCGAGAGATCGTTTCTGCAGCATCAGGAGCGTTTGAAGGGACCCGATGAAGAATGAGCCGAAGGTGAGAGGAAAAGAGGTGAGCCAAGGAGGTCTTTCACACAGAGATCTTGCTCAACCCCCTTTTGAGAAAAGCAGACTAAAAGCATGACTTTTCAGGCCGTAGAAACCAGAGACAGCGACAAACAAACAAGCAAACAAACAAAAACCAGGGCAAAACATTAACAATGTCTTCCAGGATATTTTCAATATTTTCTCATCATAAATAGAGTTAAACATAATTTATTGTTGAGATCGAAAAACACTCCAAAATGGTCCACATGTGAGGTTGAGACAGCGATACTTTACATTTCTGATGGCTCAATGATTCTTTCTCTATTGGTGTGGAATATGCATGACCCCACCCACTGCCTCTCCCTTCACCCTTTCCTATTCTTTTCTATGGCACACAGCAAACAGAGGAACTGATCAGCAATTGGACATACTAGAGAGGTTTGGAGAGAATTTACCATGATTTATAGGAGTTGAAGGTACTGGGATGTATAGTTCACCTGCAATCTAAGAGCACTCTGAACTTCACCAAGATTGGACCTGGAACTAACTTGGCACACAGAACCCCTATGACCAACAAAAACATACTGGAGGTCTTTGGAGGGATTTTGAGGAGTTGTAGTTCACCTGCATCCAATTTTATTTATTTATTTCCGTCACTTTTACCCCACCCTTCTCACCCCCGGGGGGGGGGGGGCTCAGGGCAGCTTACAAACAAAGGCACAATTCGATGCCTTTGTCAAATATACATACATATATACAAATTAAACAATTACATATTAAAAATTTTAAAAACATCACTACACAACAATACAGTAACACAGTAGTAGGCTAATCCTGAGCTCAGCGTTCGGAGTTTCGTAAATCCATTCCGTCTCGTCAAATTCCAGCTCGTCATCAGGTCTTTCTTTAGCTGCCAGAATGTCCAAATGCCTGGTCCCATACCAGGTTTTCAACTTTTTCCTAAATGAAAGAAGGGACGTTGCCGATCTAATCTCCCCGGGGAGTGAGTTCCACAGGTGGGGGGCCACCACCGAGAAGGCCCTGCTCCTCGTCCCCGCCAATCTCACTTGTGATAAAGGCGGGGTCGAGAGCAGGGCCTCCCCGGAAGATCTTAGGTTCCGAGGTGGGACGTAGAGGGAGATCCGTTCGGACAGATACACTGGGCCGGAACCGTATAGGGTTTTGTAGGTCAAAACCAGCACTTTGAATTGTGCTCGGAATTGGATCGGCAGCCAGTGGAGCTGACACAACAGGGGGGTGGTATGCTCCCTGCATGCTGCTCTCCGGTGAGCAATCTGGCTGCCTCTTGCTGGACTAGTTGAAGTTTCCGAGCAGTCTTCAAAGGCAACCCCACGTAGAGTGCGTTGCAGTAATCCAATCGGGATGTAACAAGAGCGTGGACCACCGTGGCCAAGTCTGACTTCCCAAGGTACGGGCGCAGCTGGCGCACAAGTTTTAGTTGTGCAAAAGCTCTCCCGGCCACCGCCGAGACCTGGGGTTCCAGGCTCAGCGATGAGTCCAGGATCACTCCCAAGCTGCGAACCTGCGTCTTCAGGGGGAGTGTAACCCCGTCTAACACAGGCTGTAACCCTATGCCCTGTTCGGCCTTACGACTGACCAGTAGGACCTCTGTCTTGTCTGGATTCAATTTCAATTTGTTAGCTCTCATCCAGTCCGACACAGCGGCCAAGCACCGGTTCAAGGTCTGGACAGCCTCCTTGGTGACAGGTGGAAAGGAGTGACAGATTTGGACATCATCTGCGTAGAGATAACATCTCATTCCGAAACTCCGAATGATCTCCCCCAGCGGCTTCATGTAGATGTTAAATAACATCGGGGACAGAATTGAACCCTGTGGGAATCCACACAACAACGGTTGCGGAGTCGAACAGGTGTCACCCAATAACACCTTCTGGGTCCGTCCCTCAAGGAAGGATCGGAAATCCGCCAAAATGCGAGGCCTCGGATAACTCGGTGGCCCGCTGTGAAGCATTTGCTCGATTCTTCACGGATAAAATTGAGCGGATTCGGTCAGGCTTTGACGTCATGTTAACGGCAGTCTCCGGGGATGTAACGAGAACATCTGCTTGTCCAGTTTTGTTGGATTCGTTTCAATTGGTTCAGCTTGAGGATGTGGACAGGATCCTTGGAGAGGTGCGACCCACCACATGCATCCTAGACCCCTGCCCATCCTGGCTGATAAAAGAAGCCAGAGGGGGTTTGGCAGAGTGGGTGAAGGTGATGGTTAATGCCTCCTTACAGGAAGGAAAATTTCCAGCGAGCTTAAAACAAGCTGTTATAAAACCGCTGTTGAAGAAACCATCACTGGATCCCACTCAATTCGACAACTATCGGCCAGTTTCCAATCTCCCCTATTTGGGCAAAGTCATGGAACGTGTGGTGGCAGCACAACTCCAGGGGTTTCTGGTAGACACTGATTATCTAGATCCGGCACAGTCAGGCTTTAGGCCGGGACATGGAACTGAGACAGCCTTGGTCGCCTTGGTAGATGATCTGCGCAGGGAGCTGGACAGGGGGAGTGTGTCCCTGTTAGTTCTGCTGGACCTCTCAGCAGCCTTCGATACCGTCGATCACGGTATCCTTCTGGGGCGCCTCATGGACATGGGGCTCGGAGGCACTGCTCTGCGGTGGCTCCGATCCTTCCTTGAGGGACGGACCCAGAAGGTGTGAACCCAAACAATGATGGATCTGGACCAAACTTGGTATGCACACCCGATATGCTCAAATTTGAAGAGTGGTGGGTTTTGATGGGAATTGACTTGGACATTTTGGAGTTGTAGATACTGGCATGTATAGTTCACCTGCAATCAATGAGCACTCTGAAATCCACCAAAGGTGGAACTGGACCAAGCTTGGCACACAGAGTCCTCATGACCAGCAAAAAATATACTAGAGGTCTTTGGGGAAAACCCACCTTGATTTGGGGGAGTTGTAGTTCACCAACACCCAGAGGGTATGTACTGGGATGTATAGTTCACCTGCAATCTAAGAGTACTCTGAACTCCACCAACAATGGACCTGGAACTAACTTGGCACACAGAACCCCTATGACCAACAAAAACATACTGGAGGTCTTCGGAGGAATTTTGAGGAGTTGTAGTTCACCTACATCCAAAGCGCACTGTGAACCCAAACAATGATGGATCTGGACCAAACTTGGCATGCATACCTGATATGCCCAAATTTTAATACTGGTGGGTTTTGAGGGGAATTGGCTTGGACATTTTGGAGTTGTAGATACTGGGATGTATAGTTCACCTGCAATCAAGGAGCACTCTGAAATCCACCAAAGATAGAACTGGATCAAACTTGGCACACAGAACCCTTATAATCATCAAAAAATACTAGAGGTCTTTGGGGGAAACTCACCTTGATTTGAGGGAGTTGTAGTTCACCAACACCCAGAGGGTATGTATTGGGATGTATAGTTCACCTGCAATCTAAGAGCACTCTGAACTCCACCAACAATGGACCGGGAACTAACTTGGCCCAGGACATATTTGGCGTAGTCAGCAGGATTTCTGACAGTGAAGACATAGTACTGATGACAGAAACTGAGTTCCCTTTATTATGGAATCCCTAGTTTGGGCCAACTTGCCAAACCCAAGCCAGGAAGAGAACCTTTCCTCCACAAAGTACCGATTTCCTTACCACGCCTATGAGATCCCCGCGGCCGTATTCGCCTGTCAGTTGCTTCTTCCCGTCGTCCATTCTGATGACGGAGCGGAGCCGCCCGTTCAGCACGATGTAGGTGCAGTCGGAGTTGTCCCCTTGCCTGAGAAAAACAATCCGGTTTTTGAAAAGAGAAGGAAATTACTGTATATACTCGAGTATAAGCCTAGTTTTTCAGCTGTTTTTATAGGCTGAAAAAGTTCCTCTTGGCTTATACTCAGGTCAACGTTATTTAATATTTTACTCTATTATTATTATTTTTATTACATGTATTATTTTACTCAATTATTATTATTGCATTTATCATTTTACTCAATTATTATTATTACATTATTATTGTTATTATTACATGTATTATTTGACTATTTATTATTGTTATTATTACATGTATTATTTGACTGTATTATTATTATTGCATTTATCATTTTACTCAATTATTATTATTACATTATTATTGTTACTATTACTTGTATTATTTGACTATTTATTATTGTTACTATTACATTTATTTTTACTCTACTATTACTGTTATTATTACATTTCAATTATATTACTCTATTATTATCATCATTATTATTACATTATTATTGTTATTATTACATGTATTATTTGACTATTTATTATTGTTATTATTACATTTATTATTTTACTCTATTATTATTATTGCATTTATCATTTTACTCAATTATTATTATTACATTATTATTGTTATTATTACATGTATTATTTGACTATTTATTATTGTTTTTATTACATTTATTATTTTACTCTATTATTATGGTCATTATTACATTTCCATTATATTACTCTATTATTATCATTATTATTGTTATTATTACATGTATTATTTATTATTCTTATTATTACATTTATTATTTTACTCTATTATTACGGTTATTATTACATTTCCATTATATTACTCTATTATTATTATTATTATCATCATTATTATTATTACATTATGTTACTCTCTTTATTCTTATTGCACATTTACATTGAAGAAGGTTTGAATCACAGTTGGACAGTCTTATCTTAAATTACAGTGTTATGTAAATATTCAAAAACATTTAACCTTAATGTAATTTTATTGGTATCTGTTTTTATTTTGAAACTAACCAGTAGCTGCTGTATTTCCCACCCTAGGCTTATACTTGAGTCAATACATTTTCCCAGTTATTGTGGTAAAATTAGGTGCCACGGTTTATATTCGGGTCGGCTTATACTCGAGTATATACAGTATTCCTTTTTAAAAATCAGAGTTCAGGTCCAGGATAAATCAGCTTGGTTTCTCTGGGTCAATGCTTTGAATATATTTTCTACAGTATTTACAGAAAGTATACTATTTCAATCAATGGTCCATCTTAACACTGCAGCTGATACTGAGTTATTTTCCTCCTCAAACCCTTCACTGGTTCGTGTCCTACCTGTAAACGGCTCGCCCAGCTTCCACCTCCATCCAGTCCAGAGCAAAGTCGATCTGCCTCACAAAAGACGACATGCGCTTCACCACCGTGTGAGCCACCCCCAAGACGACAGTGGGCTGCTCCCGCATGATCCTGGAAGGCAAGGCATGAGCATTAGGAAGAGCCTATCAAACCACCAAAACTGTACAATTTAAGGTCCATCTGCTCCAAAATCCTTTTGCTAGAGCTGTGCGGGGTTCTCTCTTCCAAATATCCAACGCCCACCAAAGGGTAAAATTGGCAGACCCGGATCTACTAGTCGATCTCTATCTAGATATATTTTTGTTGAGTTCCAGGGCCAGAGAAGCAGATGGCGGAAACAGAAGAACGGCCTGCCTCAGGGGAGCGTGCTTGCTCCATCCATGTTCAACATCTACACAAATGACCAGCCACTGCCAGAAGGGACAGAGAGTTTCATCTATGCTGATGATCATGCCATTACCGCTCAAGCAGGGAGCTTTGAGATGGTTGAACAGAAGCTCTCCGAAGCTCTAGGTGCTCTTACTGCCTATTACAGGGAAAACCAACTGATCCCTAATCCATCTAAAACACAGACATGCGCCTTTCACCTTAAGAACAGACAAGCATCCCGAGCTCTGAGGATTACCTGGGAAGGAATCCCACTGGAGCATTGCAACACACCCAAATACCTGGGAGTCACTTTGGACCGTGCTCTGACCTACAAGAAGCACTGCCTGAACATCAAGCAAAAAGTGGGCGCTAGAAACAATATCATACGAAAGCTGACTGGCACAACCTGGGGATCACAACCAGACACAGTGAAGACATCTGCCCTTGCGCTGCTACTCTGCTGCTGAGTATGCATGCCCAGTGTGGAACACATCTCACCACACTAAAACAGTAGATGTGGCTCTTAATGAGACATGCTGCATTATCACGGGGTGTCTGCGCCCACACCACTGGAGAAATTACACTGCTTAGCCGGTATTGCACCACCTGACATCCGCCGGGAAGTAGCAGCCAATAGTGAAAGGACAAAGGCAGAGACATCTCCAGCTCATCCCCTGTTTGGGTATCAGCCAGCACGTCAACGACTTAAATCAAGACATAGTTTTCTTAGATCTACAGAGACACTCGCTGGAACACCCCAGCAAGCGAGAGTCCAAAAGTGGCAGACCCAAACCCAGCACCTCAATCCATGGGTGATACCAGATGAGAGACTCCCCCCTGGGCACTCAGAAGACTGGGCGACTTGGAAGCCGGCAACACGAGATGCAGAGCCAATCTTAAGAAATGGGGCTACAGGGTGGAATCCTCGGCATGCGAGTGCGGAGAAGAGCAAACCACTGACCACCTGCTGCAATGCAACCTGAGCCCTGCCACATGCACAATGGAGGACCTTCTTGCGGCAACCCCAGAGGCACTCCAAGTGGCCAGATACTGGTCAAAGGACATTTAACCAAATACCAAATTTGCAAAATCTGTGTGTTTTTTTTTCCTTTTCCTTTTTAATCTGTGTGTTTGTTTTGCTCTGTTAGAATTGTAACACAATGGTTGCTGATGACACGATAAATAAATAAATCTAGATATATAAAAGTCAAAGTATGTATGTCTGCTTGCCCCACAAAGGCTAGGTGAAGTGGCCCTCAGTGCTGTCACTGGGAAAGACTAGGTGAAGTGGTTTTGGAAAAAAAGGTGACATGTGTATAGGGGAAGGGAAGAAAGAACCACCAAAGGAGCCTGCACACTATTACCTGAGTATCACCATGGAGACATTGTGAGGTAGGCATTTTCAGAGGTGGAGAAAGGAGAAAGTAGGCCTTCTAAGAGTTGGGGAAGGGAGAAAGCAGGTCTTCACAGAGCTGGAAGAGAAAGTAGGCCTTCTAAGAGTTGAGGAAAGGAGAAAGCAGGCCTTTGCAGAGCTGGAAGAGAAAGTAGGCCTTCTAAGAGTTGGGGAAGAGAGAAGGCAGGCCTTCGCAGACCTGGAAGAGAAAGTAGGCCTTCTAAGAGTTGGGGAAGGGAGAAAGCAGGGCTTCTCAGAGGTGTATGAGAAAGTAGTCCTTCTAAAAGTTGGGGAAGGGAGAAAGCTAGCCTTCGCAGACCTGGAAGAGAAAGTATGCCTTCTAAGAGTTGGGGAAGGGAGAAAGCAGACCTTTGCAGAGCTGGAAGAGAAAGTAGGCCTTCTAAGAGTTGGAGAAGAAATAAAATAAGGCTTGTAAGACTTGAAGAAGGGAGAAAGTAGGCCTTCTAAGAGTTGGGGAAGGGAGAAAGCAGGCCTTCACAGAGCTGTAAAGTATTCGTTCTAAGAGTTGGGGAAGGGAGAAAGCTGGTTTTCTCAGAGCTGTATGAGAAAGTATTCCAAGAGTTGGGGGAGAAAGCAGGCCTTCACAGAGCTGTATGAGAAAGTATTCATTCTAAGAGTTGGGAAGGGAGAAAACAGGTTTTCTCAGAGCTGGATGAAAAAGCAGGCCTTCTAAGAGTTGTAGAAGGGAGAAAGTAGGCCTAAGAGTTGTAGAAGGGAGAAAGTAGGCCTTCTACGAGTTGGGAAAGGGAGAAAGCAGGTTTTCTCAGAGCTGGACGAGAATGTAGGCCTTCTAAGACCCAGAGAATGATGAAAATAGGCCTTCTAAGAGTTGAAGAAGGGAGAAAGTAGGCCTTCTAAGAGTTGGAGAAGGGAGAAAGAAGGCATTCTAAGAGTTGGGGAAGGGAGAAAGTAGGCCTTCTCAGAGCTGGCCTTCTAAGACGGCAGGGGATTGGATACAGATTAATGGGAAGGCATGAGCAAAGGACTCAATTGCTGGTTCCTCTGAAGATTCCTGGGAGACGCAATGGAGCAAATGTCTCCATGATAGACCACTGAGATCCAGAAAAGCTGGTACAGAAGGGACAGCTTCTAACCATAGCATGATCTTGCTTTTCTAACCGCAATAACGCACCACAAGATTTCTGGTTGCCTTCCGCCCACCCGAGTGACGGCTTAATTAGACACTGGAGTCACAAAGCCCACTCTTGGCTTCAAATAAGAGTGCAAGCACCCTGCATTTTACACATCACATCCGGGAAAAAGGTATAATCAGCCAGTATCTGCCCCTATATTTAAACCTGGCTATTAAAATACATGTCAGGGGCGGCACGTCGGTGAAATTTGGTGCCTGTGCTGGCTCTACAGCCGGGCTGGAGAAGATTTCTGGCCTTGTTCAACACCTCTGTGTCTTTCTGTCGGTGAGCACAACGATGAAAAACCATTTTTGGTTCGGTTTTCGAGGTGTCATTTTCGTTCTAGTAAGATTCAGCCCATAGCTGTCAATGAGGAAATTGGAAGATTCTCGTTTCTCTGTCATTTTTAGGCTTATCGGAATGAAATTTGCCTCACTTGTAGGAGACTTTTACAACTGCAAGCCTGCAAAGTTTCAGAACATTTCACCAATCCACTGATTTTTGGGGATTTTAAAAAAAGTTTTATCATAACTTTTTTTTTTAAAAAAACCATTCGCCGAATGATATGGCTGGTCATGATTCATTTCCGTTAAAGCTTTGACAGGTCCGTTTTTGGTGATCCTGCTGCCAGACCTCCGAATTTCTCCAAGTCTTTCATATTGTGGCTAAGACAGATGAAGACGAGGGGATTGTGATTCCAGAATCTGGAGGGCCTGGGAGAGCGGTGGATGATTCTTTCACTGAGGGAAATAACGGGATTTCATCTGTGAGATGGGAAAGTGAAACTGTTTCTGAGTTCAACAGACACGGGGCTACAGTGAATGGTTCCACGAGCCAGGAAGTCACGTTCAAAGAAATGCCTTCATGTTTTGTGGCCCTTAAATGAGAGAGCGTCTCTTTGAGAATTCAGATCAGTCAACACTGCGTAATAGTAAGGATATCCAGTCCTGTTGACAGTTCATGTTTTTAGTCTAAGTTCTTGGGAGTTTTGATCCATGTTTTAAGAAGTTCTTATAGCCTTGGGTTTGGATTCAAGCTCATCTTTGCATTCTTGTTTTTCTGGATTGATGCTCATGTTTGGATTCTTGTTTTTCTGGATCGATGCCCTTGTTTGGATTCTTGTTTTTCTGGATTGATGCTCGTGTTTGGATTCTTGTTTTTCTGGACTGATGGCCATGTTTGGATTCTTGTTTCTCTGGATCGATGCCCTTGTTTGGATTCTTGTTTTTCTGGATTGATGCACGTCTTTGGATTTTTGTTTTTCTGGATTGGTGGCCATGTTTGGATTCTTGTTTTTCTGGATTGATGCTCGTCTTTGGATTCTTGTTTTTCTGGATTGATGCTCGTGTTTGGATTCTTGTTTTTCTGGATTGATGCCCATTTAGATTCTTGTTTTTCTGGATTGATGCTCGCCTTTGGATTCTTGTTTTTCTGGATTGATGCTCGTCTTTGTATTCTTGTTCTTATGGATACATGCCCTTGTTTGGATTCTTGTTTTTCTGGATTGATGCTCGTGTTTGGATTCTTGTTTTGGATTATTGCCTTTGAAGTGTTTTACTCCTCACCAGCTTGGTTGGGTTTATTATTTATTGACTACCTTTTTGGATTAGTCAATTGGAGTTTGCCTTTCTTATCCCGTATGGTGATTTTCCCTTTTTATACGTACTTCCTTCAATAAACTGTTTTATTACTGCTTTTGGAGTCCTGGTTGGTGCTGAGGGCAAGGTGAACTCTGGCTGAGGAGCAACACCATATCGCCACACTGAATCGTGCACACCCCGATTGTCTTCTCTTTTTCTGTAAACATTTCCTGTGTTCCCAATTTTCACCCTTTCTTCCTTCCCCCTACCTTCTCTTTGAGTCAGCCTGATCTCTCTTGACCTCTCACACTCTTCGCCTTCACTAACATCTTATCTATTTCACGTTCCTTTTCGCTCCCTTCTCTTTTAACTCATGCTTGAATCCACTCTTCTCAGATAAATTCACTTTACGTCTTCCTGGACTCAACACTTGGAAGGTAACCATAAAATCCATCTGTCCCTCAACGACACCCTTGATCTAGGCTAACTGACCTCTGAAAGCCAACCCAAGTCAACAAGGAGGAGGGGTCTCACTCGTAAAAGTGTGACTTAGTGATGGCCAGGAAGCTGCAGTCGCGGTTGGCCTTGATGGTGAACATAAGGGGCTCCCCAGTCAAGGCGGCCAGCTGGCCCACCAGCTCTCCCGGGTGGGTGATGAACAGGCAGGTCTCCTCCTCGGAGTCAATCTTCCGCTGGTAGACGTGGAGCATCCCCGAGATGATAAAGCGGATGTTGACATCCTGGAAGAGGAGGGGCAGGGGAACATATTTACAACCGTGGCATCTCTATTTGGAACGAAAGCAAGATTTCATATAGTGTAGGGATAGATAGGAGACCCCAGTGGTGCAGCGGGTGAACCCACTGAGCTGCTGAACTTGCTGACCAAAAGGTCGGCAGCTCGAATCCGGGGAATTTATTTATTTATTCGCAGTATTTATATTCCGTCCTTCTCACCCCGCAGGGGACTCAGGGCGGATTACAATGTACATATACATGGCAAACATTCAATGCCATAGACACACAACAGATATAGACAGGCACACAGAGGCTTTTCATGAGGGTGTTCTAGCCACCAGGGGAACTGTCGCTTCACCGTCCATTTGTGACACTGATGAAGTACTTCCTCATTCTTTGCAGGCTTGATGGAGATTTTTATGGCGTCCTAAGTAGGCCTCCTCGCATTAGTGGTACCTAAATTTCCTACTTGACAGACACAACTGTCTTTCGGGCTGCAAAGGTCGACAGCAAGCTACACAAATTGGTCGGAAGCTCACTTCGACCCGGGCTGGCTTTGAACTCATGACCTTTTGGTCAGTAGTGATCTTAATGCAGCTGACTCCCAGCCAGCTGCGCCATAGTCCCAGAATGGGGTGAGCTCCCACTGTTGGCTCCAGCTTCTGCCAACCTAGCAGTTCACAAATATGCAAATGTGAGTAGATCAATAGGTACCGCTTTGGCGGGAAGGTAACAGTGCTCCATGCAGTCATGTTGGTCACATGACCTTGGAGGCGTCTACGGACAACACCGGCCCCATATGACAAACCATATGCAGATGCAATATTCTGGAACACTCTTCCACACAAAGGAAGATGCTCACCTGGTCGCCTTGCCTCGACACCACCGTCCCAGCCGTCACCTGGTGCAAAGTGACTTTCCCATTTAAGAGAAGGGGGTCCTAAGCAGAGGAGAAAAGGAAAACATAAACAGCCATTGAGAGGCTAAATGGGGACATATATTTGCCTAGAATTGTGTCCCATGCCCCACCTCCACTAGCCTTGCTAGAGGAATATAATAATAATAATAATAATAATAATAATAATAATAATAATAATAATAATAATAGTGATTCCAGCCATGAAAGCCTTCGACAATACAATAATAATAATAATAATAATAATCTTTATTTATTTATAGCTCCATCTCCCCAAGGGGATGCAGAGCGGTTCCCAGATAACATCACAAAACATACAAAGTATAAAACAACATAACCATAAGATTCATTAACAAAACAAAATATAAGCATAAAAATTGTCGCCATAACACACAAAAGCAATCCCTTTGGTTTCCCTTTGCTCCAAACCCTGTGTCTCACTCACATCCAGCTTCATCAGAGTCAAGAGATCCTTCTTGGCCGCTTCGAAGATGGCGTCGACGTGCTTGTTGGCCGAGGGCTCCTGGACGGAGAGGTTGTCCTGCATGTAATGGAAGACAGCCGAGGGCATCTCCGTTACGGTCACCGTCTTCTTCAAGATGGACTTGCAAGAAGGAAAAAAAATCCAAAAACATTAGGTCATTCTCTTTGCTTGGTTTAGTCAACCAACAGGCATTTAGTCACTTGCCCAAAACAACTTGAGAGAGGAAAGCCAAAGGATGCTAGTCTGGCTTATTATTATTATTATTATTATTATTATTATTATAAACTTTATTTATACTAGGACCCCCGGTGGCGCAGTGGGTTAAAGCGCTGAGCTGCTGAGCTTGTTGACCAAAAGGTCGCAGGTTCGATTCCGGGGAGCAGCGTGAGCTTCCGCTGTCAGCCCTAGCTTTTGCCAACCTAGCAGTTTGAAAACATGCAAATGCGAGTAAATCAATAGGTACCACTCCGGCGGGAAGGTAAGGACGTTCCATGCAGTTATGCCAGCCACATGACCTTGGAGGTGTCTACGGACAATGCCGGCTCTTCGGCTTAGAAATGGAGATGAGCACCAACCCACAGAGTCAGACATGACTGGACTTAATGTCAGGGGACAACGTTTACCTTTTACCTTATTTCTACCCTACCACCATCTCCCTGAAGAAAAACAAGAATCCAAACACGAGCATCAATCCAGAAAAACAAGAATCCAAACACGAGCATCAATCCAGAAAAACAAAAAAACAAACACGAGCATCAATCCAGAAAAACAAAAAAACAAACACGGGCATAAATCCAGAAAAACAAGAATCCAAACACGCGCATCAGTCCAGAAAAACAAGAATCCAAACACGAGCATCAATCCAGAAAAACAAGAATCCAAACACGAACATCAATCCAGAAAAACAAGAACCCAAGCCCAATGATACAATACAGAAAAATAAAATACTTTTTTTGTGTGTGTGTGTCAGGAGCGACTTGAGAAACTGCAAGTCGCTTCTGGTGTGAGAGAACTGGCCGTCTGCAAGGACGTTGCCCAGGGGACGTCTGGATGATTTTTGATGTTTTTATCATCCTTGTGAGAGGTATCTCTCATGTCGCCACATGAGGAGCTAGAGCTGATAGAGGGAGCTCATCCGCCTCTCCCCGGATTCAAACCTGCGACCTGTCGGTCTTCAGTCCTGTCAGCACAGGGGTTTAACCCACTGCGCCACCGGGGGCTCCAAATAAAATACTAAATGCAGACACCAAAAATTATATCAGAATAAAATACATATCGTAGCAAAATAAAATAAATAAAGCAAATTGACATAATATAAAATCGAACACAATGGGCATCTGGTAATCACATCTGGTTGCAAGATAATTGCAAGAAAAATGACTTGGAAAGGTTGAAAGACAAGATAAGATAGAGCCATCCTGAAGGGCAACAGGTCTTTCATAACAAGGGAAGGAGTATGGTATTTATATCGTACTTATTTTGGACTTTGCATTGTCTCTCTATTAGGTTTTTGTGGCCTGTTTTAAGGTTCTCTTGTTAAACAGAGAAAGAAAGTTAAACAGAGAAATAAAGTCATCAGAAAGGAGAACCAGGAACTGCTGTGCTGACATGACCCAAATTCTCAGTTACGCACAAAAACATCTGCTTGAGAATGGGTCTACCTTGCATGTAGCTGGACTTGAAAGCACCTCAGCAGAGGAGGAGGTGGAGGCGACCCTGGCTCTCTCGTACGCCATGTCCAAGTCGGCTTTAGCCCCGGCCAGGGTTCCTGTAGAGACAGAAGGTCATTTGTATTCCCCAGTATGCAACAATAGTTTGGTTGTACCTTAGTGTCATGTGTGAATAGGAATATGTAAAAACAATATTAGGGTTTGGTTAGTTCTCCTTAAAAATGCTACAAAACAGGAGCTTTTTTGTTGAGTTCCAGGGCCAGAGAAGCAGATGGCGAACACAGAGGAACAGCCTGCCTCAGAGGAGCATGCTTGCTCCATCAGTGTTTCACATTGTTTCCTTTATCTCAGCCATATTGTTTTTATGATGTTGTTATGACAGTGTTTATTTTATTATTTTATTCATTGATTTTAATTGTGTCTGTTTTTATTTATAATTTTTGGACTTGTCCCTTTGTAAGCCACACCGAGTCCCCTTGGAGAGATGGTTAGTGGGGTATAAAAATAAAGCTATTATTATTATTATTATTATTATTATTATTATTATTATTATTATTATTTGAAACCCAACAAGATGAGTCCACAGCAAACAAGATCACTCTGCTGGCTGTTGTACTGTATCACACGTCGGACACTTCCCAGGTGTCTAGGACTGTGTGATGTATCGGCGAATAATGCATGCAGATCCCAGTAAGGTGGCCTTTTGCAGCTGGCAGACAGTAATTTTGGCAGCACTGATTGTGTTTAAGTGCAGGCCAAGGTCTTTAGGCACTGCACCCAGTGTGCTGATCACCACTGGGACCACATTGACTGGCATGTGCCAGAGTCTTTGCAGTTTGATCTTTAAATCCTCATATCGTGTCAGCTTTTCCAGTTGTTTTTCTTCAATCCTGCTGTTACCTAGGATTGCAACATCGACAATCCATACTTTGGGTTCTTGTAGGTTTTTTTGGGCTATATGGCCATGTTCTAAAGGCATTCTCTACTGACATTTCGCCTGCATCTACGGCAAGCATCCTCTGAGGATGTTTGCCATAGATGCAAGCGAAACGTCAGGAGAGAATGCCTCTAGAACATGGCTATATAGCCCGAAAATCCTACAACAACTCAGTGATTCCGGCCATGAAAGCCTTTGACAACCCATACTTTGTTTTTTATTTATTTATTTATTATTATTATTATTATTATTTCCCCAAATGATCAGCCACTGCCAGAAGGGACATAATGTATATTGTTGTTGTTGTTATTATTATCTTGAGGTGGCATTTATTACCGTACACATTTTCCCTCCTCATCCACCATTCCTTTCCATCCAATAGGTTTTTCTCACCAGACATATCAGCGTATCCAGAAGAAGAGGTCAAAGATGAACTTCTCCGGAGTGGAGTTTCCGACCCAGGCGATCTTCCTGTATCTGAGACCAGAAACACAAGGACTAATCCACAAACCAAGGGCTTTTTAGGGTTGCTTTGTAGACAGAACACAGCTTATACAAAGTCCTTCTATATATGTTTACAAGGAACTGGTATGATGAAGCGTATGGCCTCTGATATTGGGAGTTATATCAGAGGGTAGCCAGAACAACCAAGGCAAATATGCTATGTCTCAAAAGCAAAATGGTGGCCTTCCCCTAAATCCAGGATCATTTGGTAGATGCTGGCTTGATGTTTACAGCTGATACTATGCAAACCAGACTTGTCCCCAAAAATCAGGTCCAGCAAAGCTGACTCCTTACCAGGATCTGACAGAGTCCCTTGTTTCTCAAGCTTCTCCATCCGGTCCTCTTCCGATAGATTGGACAGTTGTCGCTTCACCGCTTTATTGGTGTTCCCACCGGATGTGACGCTTGCAACGGACACCAACGGGATGGCCTGGCTCTCCTGGCAAGAAGCAGAAAGAAAGGAGATAGATGGGATTCCAATTGGGAAGCCCTATTCCCCAGCAGTGACCTTGTCGGAATTAGATACAGGTGAGGTTCACCTAGAGAGGTCCATCAACTGTAAGCTTCACTTACAGAACTGAAGAGCTCAGTGGTCAAGCCCAGGTAGTTGTGCAAAGCGAGGAAGGTCACTCTTTGGAGTCTCACCATGATGATCTACGGAGGGAAGGGACCAAGTTGGAGTTCAGAAGATCATGAATGTTTTGGTTTCTCCCCAAGGGGTAAGGAACCACCTATGTTTAATGAAGTTGTACCCCGCCTCGAGCTGCAAGAAGTGGGTATTATTATTATTATTATTATTATTGTGGAAGGCTTTCATGGCCGGAATCACTGCGTTCTGGTAGGGTTTTTTGGGCTATATGGCCATGTTCTAGAGGCATTCTTTCCTGACGTTTTGCCTGCATCTATGGCAAGCATCCTCAGAGGAAGTGGGTTGTTACCTCTGAGGATGCTTGCCATATGTGCAGGCAAAACGTCAGGAGAGAATGCCCCTAGAACATGGCCATATAGCCCAAAAAAACCTACAACAACCCATTATTATTATTATTATTATTATTATTATTATTATTATTATTATTATTTGAAACACAACAAGATGAGTCCACAGCAGACACTCTACTGGCTGTTGAATTGGATCACACGTCGGACACTTCCCAAGTGTCTAGGACTGTGTGATGTATCGGCGAATAATGTGTGCAAATCCCAGTAATAATAATCATCATCATCATCATCATCATCATCATCATCATCATCAGCTTCAATGTCCATAACACTGAAAAAAACAATTTAGACATTATAACAATAGTGCTATTATTATTATTATTATTATTATTATTATTAGCACTACTATTATAACATCTAATTTTTTTCTTCATATAATGTCTAAATTGTTTTTTTCAGTGTTATGGACATTGAAACTTATGATATTGTAAATCATTGCCTCCTCCTGAAAAAATGTATAATATCACAAAGGACGACCACCTCACCCACTTCATAGGAAACCTGCTACAAAACAGGAGCTTTTTTGTTGAGTCCCAGGGCCAGAGAAGCAGATGGCGGAAACATAAGAAGGGCCTGCCTCAGGGGAGTGTACTTGCTCCATCCATGTTTGACATTTACACAAATTATCAGCCACAGCCTGAAGGGACAGAGAGCTTCATCTATGCTGGCAATCGCTGTATCTGGTTGTAATCCCCAGGCTGTGCCAGTCAGCTTTTGTATGATGTTATTTCTAGCGCCCACTTTTTGCATGATAGGCAAGCAGTGCTTCTTGTAAGTCAGAGAACAGTCCAGAGTGACTCCCAGATATTTGGGTGTGCTGCAATGCTCCAGTGGGATTCCTTCCCAGGTTATCCTCAGAGCTTGAGATGCTTGTCTGTTCTTAAGATGAAAAACACATATGTGCATTTTAGATTGATTAGGAATCAGCTGGTTTTCCCTGTAATAGGCAGTAAGGACACCTAGAGCTTCAGAGAACTTCTGTTCAACCATTTCAAAGCTCCTTGTATGGGTGGTGATGGTACGATTGTCAGCATAGATAAAACTCTCTGTCCCTTCTGGCAGTGGCTGGTCATTTGTCTAAATGTTGAACATTAATGGAGCAAGCTTTGGAGAGCTTCTGTTCAACCATTTCAAAGCTCCCTATTTGAGCGGTGATGGCACGATCGTCAGCATAGATCAGTGATGGGCAACCTTTTGAGCTTGGTGTGTCAATACTCGCCAAAAAAACCGAGCATAACTCAGGTGGGGTGTCACTTTGAGAAAAAAAAACAAACATAATTTCATGATATTTATAGTTTAATAACAAAAATATATTATTGTAATATATAACTCTATTTAATAAACCAAAAACTAATTATTTAACTTACCTGCTTTTTCTATAATGCCATATATCTCGGCATTATAGAAAAATGCTGGTGTAGGAGCCGAGGATGAAATGTCTTCCTTGGGATGCGGCCCCATCTTCTCTGTATGCGGCCGCATGTGGCTGTGTGTCATCGAAAATGGCTACACGTGTCAGTGCTGACACACATGTCATAGGTTCACCATCATGGGCATAGATGAAACTCTCTGTCCCTTCTGACAGTGGCTGATCATTTGTGTAAATGTTAAACATTGATGGAGCAAGCACTACTGCGATGACACTCAAGCAATCTGACTACGTTCTGCCCCACCTCGAGCCCAAAGGAGAAGTGGGTAACAAATTAATAATAATAATAATAGTTATATTATTATTATTATTATTATCATCATCATCATCTTCATGATTATGAACTGGACAAGAATCAGGAAGGAGGTTCTGTAGAAAAATCCCCACCCATCTCACCTGCACGACTCTCACAAGTGTTTCAGGATATTTCTGGAAGACATCGTGAAATGCATTGGCCGGGAGCCTGAGGATCGTGGAAGGCATTCCTGCTCGCGCAGAGACGGTCTTGTATGGCGCTGGGTGACCCTTATGACAGGAAACGGAGGGGAAATGGGTTTCACACAAAACATCCATGCCATTTGATTTTTCCTTACAACAGCCTTGTTTGCTTGTTGTGTCTGGCAACTGCATGTCTTTGCAACTCAATAACAGGATTCATTGCATTTCTGCATTCCATCTATCTATCTATCTATCTATCTATCTATCTATCTATCTATCTATCTATGGAGATATATGAATACTTGTCTCTTTGTACCACTAAGGCTGTTGCTATGTGAAGTGGCCTTCTGTGATGTCCCTGGGAGTCAGCTGCATTAAGATCACTACTGACCAAAAGGTCATGAATTCGAAGCCAGCCCGAGTCGGAGTGAGCTTCCGACCAATTTGTGTAGCTTGTTGTCGACCTTTGCAACCCGAAAGACAGTTGTATCTGTCAAGTAGGAAATTTAGGTACCCCTTATGCGGGGAGGCGAATTTAACTAAATTTACGGCACCATAAAAATCTCCAGCAAGCATGAAAAGAATGAGGAAGTACTTCATCAGTGTCAAAAATGGACGGTGAAATGACAGCTCTCCTGGAGGCCAGAATCCCCTCATGAAAAAAGTGGAATGTTAAATAGCCTCTGTGTGTCTGTCTAGATATGTTGTGCGTCTATGGCATTGAATGTTTGCCATGTATATGTACATTGTAATCCGCCCTGAGTCCCCTGTGGGGTGAGAAGGGTGGAATATAAACTACTAAATAAATAAAATAAATCGCCGGGAAAGAAAGGTGACAAGTGTATGAGGGGAAGGAAGAAAGAGCCACAAAGAGAGCTGCTTGCCATGGAGACATTGTGAGGTAGGCCTCTCAGAGCTGGAGAAGGGAGAAAGAAAGAAAGAAAGGAAGGGAAGGAAAAAGAAAGGAAAGGAGGAAGGAAGGAAGGAAGGAAGGAAGGAAGGAAGGAAAAGGAACAAAGGAAGGAAGGAAGGAAGGAAGGAAAAGGAAGGAGAGGGGAGAAAGGAAAGATAAAAGGAAGGAAGGAGAAGTAAAGAAGGAAGGAAGGAAGGAAGGAAGGAAGGAAGGAAGGAAGGAAGGAAGGAAGAGAAAAAGGAGGGAAGGAAAAGAAAGGAAAGGAAAAAAGATATGGGGAGGGAAAGAGCAAGAAAGGATGAAACCCCGGGGGGGGGGGGGGGGGCGGCTCGCACAGCGGGTTAAACTGGCAGCTACTGAAAATTTTGTTGACCGGAAGGTTGGCAGTTTGAGCTGCAGGTTGGGGTGAGCTCCCACCATCAGCCCTAGCTTCTGCTCACCTAGCAGTTCAAAAAAAGCAATGTTAGTAGATAAATAGGTACCGCTTAGGCAGGGAGGTAAAAGGCACCCCTGAAAACATGCTGGCAAAATTAAATCTGGAAGGCATCTATGGACAACAGCCTCCTTGGTGTGAAAAATGGAACAAGAGCAACTCCCCATGGTCAAGTCGAGCACAGCCTGCAGATGCTGGGGATGAAAAGGGGGATGATTTGTCTCTGTCTATGTACTGTCTGTGTTTGTTGTTGTGTAATGGCACTGAATGTTTGCTACATATGTATTCTGTAATCTACTCTGAGTCTCCTCAGGGAGATAAGAGTGGAATATAAATATATTATTATTATTATTATTATTATTATTATTATTATTATTTTACTGACACAAAAGTATGTTACAGCAAACGAGATCTATATGCTGGATTTTGTATCAAAAAATCACAAGTCGAACACTTCCCAAGTGTCTAGGACTTTGTGATGTATTTCCAAATGATGTGGGGAGATCTAAGTAAGGTGGCCTTTTATTATTATTATTATTATTATTATTATTATTATTATTATTATTAACACAACAAATTGAATCCACAGCAGACGATTATTATTATTATTATTATTGTTATTATTATTATTATCATTATTATATCACATTAAAAACATTTCATCCCATATTATCCAACTGCTGGATGTTACTTTTTAAATTTCCCAAACTGTTGTTATCTTAGAGACCTCAACCAGATCCAATAGATGGGCTCACCGTGATGACATCCAGAATGCTGAGGAGGCTGTGGACGCTGTCTCCTGCCAAGACCTCTTTCACCACTACTTCCGTGCCATCCTAGAGGAATTAAAAAAAATGTATTTAATAAGACAACTACCTTTGCCTGTATCCACCTTCCCCAGTTTGGAATCACTGAGTCGGAAGAGACTCCCATGGCCATCAAGTCCAACCCCATCTTGCCATGCAGGGAGAAAATATTTTAAACACCCTTCTGCATGAAACAAAGTTTGCGTGCCACCTGGAAACACTATTTCGGCTCCCCGTGTGAACTATTTTGGAGCAGAGCCATCCTTACATTCTCTTGGATACAGACTTCCAGCTTTCCGTCCTGCACCACGTAGATGCTGTTGTCCAGCTGCCCCGGGCGGAAGATGTACTCTCCTTCGTGCAGTTGCACAAAGACCATGTGCTTGCAGAGCTCCAGGAAAAGGGGCTTCTCAAAGTGGCCAAGGACCCTGCCAAGGGGAAAAAAGAGACTCCGGTTAAGGAAATGCAGTGTGCAAGATGCCTTGAAGTTACTTGGCAGGCATAATCCATAATATCCAATACTAGGTTAAGGTAAAGGTTTTCCCCCGACATGAAGTCCAGTCATGCCCGACTCTGGGAGTTGGTGCTCATCTCCATTTCTAAGCCAAAGAACCAGCGTTGTCCATAGACACCTCTAAGGTCATGTGGCCACTGGCATGACTGCATGGAGCACCGTTACCTTCCTGCAGAAGCGGTATCTATTGATCTACTCATATTTGTATGTTTTCGAATTGCTTGGTTGGCAGAATAAATACCCACTTAGCCTTCTCTTCCAGCCAACCCATCCCAATATCCTAAACCGTTATTTGGAGCCTTCCTGAAAAGACTAGGTGTGTGCAGAATAAAATTCTGCAGGGGAGCCCTCTCAGCTCAAACTGGAGAGAATTCAATGTGCAGAGGTAGTCTTGGGCAACTTCCTTGCAAGCAAGCAATGCCCTGCCTGTGAAGCTCCCAATGGGGCTCATCTACCCATTGCTGGTAATAGGAAGCGCCAGCTAAATGGCTCAACCTGTCTAATGTCATTTTCCCCCCACATCAAGACGAGTCCTACTTTTCTGCAGAATGAAGAGGAAGGTCATCTCTCTATCTATTTTTCTATCTATCTTTCTATCTCTCTCTATATATATATCTTTCTATTTCTCTATCTCTCTATCTTTCTATCTCTCTGTCTATCTATCTATCTATCTATCTATCTATCTATCTATCTATCATCTATCCATCCATTCCCCTATCCATCCATCCATCCCTCTATCCATCCCTTGAAGGATCGATCGATCAATCGGTCTATCTATCTATCTATCTATCTATCTATCTATCTATCTATCTATCTTTTTAAACTTGGCACAGAGACCCAACATGAGTACTGGCAGAGTTTGGGGAAAACTGACCTTGGATTCTGGGATTTATAGTTTACCCACATACAGAGAGCACTGTGAACCCAATCGATGATAGATCTGGACTAAACTCTGCAGAGAGACCCAATGTGAGTACTGGCAGGGCTTGGGGAAAATTGACCTTGGATTCTGGGATTTATAGTTCACCCACATACAAAGAGTGAGTACTGGCAGGGCTTGGGAAAAATTGACACATGATGTCGGGAGTTGTAATTCACCCAAGACCAAATAGCAATGTAAACCCAAGCAATGAAGGATCTGGACCAAACTTAGCATACATACCCAACATGGCCAATTTTGAATATTGGCAGGGTTTAGAAGTAAGTGACCTTGGGTGCTGGGAGGTATAGTTCACCCACATCCAGAGAGTAATGTGAAAGCAACGAATGATGGATCTGGACCAAATTTGACACACAGACCCACCATGGCCAACTTTAACTATGTCGGGTTTGGGAACAATGACAGATGATGATGGTACTTGTAGTTTACCCGTATTCTTATACATTTTCTGATTGGTCCATTCTTGAAATCCAAAAGCAATTAATGAATAATTCTGGTGTTTATCTTCACAGAAGACCTAACCCAGGTATTGCCGGGTACCAAAACTAGTAAATAAAAACCATCTCTGCTTTAGCTTCACCAGACAACTGAACATACCTGACGTTTTTGAGCATGTAAAGGACTTCCGAGGGCAAGTGGGAGTTCTTCACGTCAAACTCCGTGAGGTCGGCCTCAAGCAGAGAGGGAGGGGGCTCCTTGGGCTGCAACGTGGGGGACTCCTTCTTGAAGCGCAAGATTCTGCAAAGAAAAAAGTGAAAATACGTTTGTGTGCAGCCAGGGTATCTACTTTCAGAGACAAGCTCCTGCCTCCACAACTTCCACCAGCCAGGAGACACCAATGGCCCTCCCGCCAATGACATTGCAGGTCATAGTGAGCGCCATGAACATGTCCAAGAGCCCTGCCAATGTCCTCCACAAACACCACACTGCCCACCACCCAAGTCAAGGCTTTCATACAAGGACAATTCCAGCCTAGATTTTTGATGTTTCCTCCACCACAGGCATCCCAGTGTCTCTGACTCTCTCCACTGGTGTGGAATTTGCATGGCCCTCCCTCCAATGACATTGCAGGTCATAGCGAGCGCCATGAACATGTCCAAGAGCCCTGCCAATGTCCTCCACAAACGCCATAATCCCCACCACCCAAGTGAAGGCTTTCATACGGGGACAATTTCACCCTAGATTTTCTGTTTTTCCTCCACCACAGGCATCCCAGTGCTCCTTTCTCTCTCCATTGGTGTGGAATTTGTATGACCCCCCACCCACTTCCTCTCCCATAACCGTTTCCTACTATTTTCTATTGCACACAGCAAACAGAGGAACTGATCAGCAACTGAACATGCTAGAGAGGTCTGGGGAGAATTCACCACAATTTATAGGAGTTGGGATGTATAGTTCACCTGCAGGCCATAGTGAGCGCCATGAACATGTACAAGAGCCCTGCCAATGTTCTCCACAAACACCACACTGCCCACCGCCCAAGTAAAGGCTTTCATACAGGGACGATTTCAGCCTAGATGTTATGTGTTTCCTCCACCACAGGCATCCCAGTGTTTCTGATTCTCTCCACTGGCATGGAATTTGCATGGCTGTCCCTCCAATGTCATTGCAGGTTATAGTGAGCTCCATGAACATGTCCAAGAGCCCTGCCAATGTCCTCCACAAAGACAATATTAATTAATTAATTAATTAAATTATTTCATATACTTGTACCCCGCCCTTCTCAACCCCGAGGGGGGACTCAGGGCGGCCTCACAGCAAACACCATTTGGTGCCATCATAATGATAAGAAAAATCAACACAATCATTACAACAAAACATTAAATAAATGAACAATACTGTTCACCACCCAACTGAAGGTTTTCATATGGGGACTATTTCCTCCACAGACATCCCAGTGTTTCTTACTCTCTCCATTGCTGTGGAATTTCCATAAGCCCACCCACTGTCTCTCCTCTAACACTTTTCTATGCTTTTCTATGGCACCAGAGGTGGTGTAATGGGTTAAACCGTCGTGCCAGCTGGACCGAAGACCAACAGGTTGTAGGTTCAAATCCAGGGAGAGCACGGATGAGCTCACTCTGTCAGCTCCAGCTCCCCATATGGGGAAATGTAAAAATCCTCCCACAAGGATGGTAAAACATCAAAACATCCAGGCATCTCCTGGACAATGTCCTTGCGGAAGACCAATTCTCTCACACCAGAAGCAACTTGCAGTTTCTCAAGTCGCTCCTGACATGAAAAAACATAACAGCAAACAGAGGAATTAATCAGCAACTGAACATGCTAGAGAGGTTTTTGGAGAATTCGCCATGATTTATAGGATTTCTAGGTCCTGGGATGTATAGTTCATCTGCAATCCAAGATCATTCTGAAGTCCACCAACAATGGACCTGGAACTAACCTGGCACACAGAATTCCCATGACCAGCAAAAACAAAAAAAAAACAAAAAACTGGAGGTCTTTGGAGGGATTTAGAGGAGTTGTAGTTCACCTACATCCAGAGTGCAATATGAACCCAAACAAGGATGGATCTGGACCAAACTTGGCATGCATACCCGATATGCCCACATCTGAATACTGGTGGGTTTTGAGAGGAATTGGCCTGGACATTTTGGAGTGGCTCTCATTTATTTTTCTTTACACAATTTTCCCTCCATACCTTTTTGCCAAGGACAAGACTTTGGCTCTCTTCCGCATCCGCTGCCGAGGGACTGTGTTTCCAACCAGGGAGTTTGGGAGAGTCGTGACCTAGAAAGATGCAACGTTTCCTCAAGACAGGGATCCGATCTCGGAGCAAAGCAACCAAAACACACACACGCCCGGACTTACTAAATCAGGTCTACAAAGCGACTCTATTCTTATGGACTAACCAAGCCCTAGAACTCTGAAGATCTAATGGAGAGATATTCTCTTGTATTTGGATTTCTGCAAATCCGACATTACAATCTACTGGTATTTCAATACATCTATTTTGACTACATTTTAATCCTTGGCATGATGCATATTAATATACATATTTTGTGATTATGTGCTTTAACTTATGAATTTTGTGGTATGTATGTTTTAATTGTGCTGTGCCTTGAATCGTGAAGAGAGGTGAGTAACAAGTAAAACATTGGGTTCCTGTGAGTTTTCCGGGCTGTCTGGGCATGTTCCAGAAGCATTTTCTCCTGACGTTTTGCTCACATCTATGGCAGGCATCCTCAGAGGTTGTGAGGTCCCTTGGAAACTAGGCAAGTGAGGTTTATATACCTGTGGAATGATGTCCAGGTTGGGAGAAAGAACTCTTGTCTATTGGATGCAAGTGGGAATGTTGCAATTAATCACCCTAATTAACACTGAATGGCCTTGCAGCTCCAAAGCCTGGTTGTTTCTTGCCTAGGGGGATCCTTGGTTGATGTCCCTGATTGTTTCCAGTCCGGTATTCCCGTTTTCTGAGTGTTGTTCATTTACTGTCATGATTTCAGAGGTTTTTTTTAATACTGGGAGCCAGATTTTGTTCATTTTCATGGTTTCCTCCTTTCTGTTGAAATTGTCCAAATGCTTCTTGTGGATTTCAGTGGCTTCTCTGTGTAGTCTGACATGGTGGTTGTTAGTAAATAAAGAGCAACACTAAAAAAAAAAAAAAAGGAATTCCAGACAGGAAATAATCGGGGCCCATTAACACCTACCAACAAAGGATTCCCCCAGGCTTTGAAGCTGCAAGGCCATTTAATGCTAATGAAGGTGGCCAATTACATTATTCGCACTTGCCTCAGGCAGACAAGAGTTCTTTCTCCACCCTGGACATTATTACACGGATATGTACACCCAACTTGCCCAGTTTCAAACCTCACAACTTCTGAGGATGCCTGCCATAGATGTGGCCAAAATGTCAGGAGAGAATGCTTCTGGAACATGGCCATACAGCTTGGAAAACCTAGAGCAACCCTTCTCCATCTAAGTTTGATTTCAAAATGGAAAAGCACCTTGGATCTCAAGATAGTCGGAAAATTTGGGGAAGTTTGTTGGATTTCCAGTGTGCAAGGACATTTCTTATAGTTCTCTCTATGTGTTGTAATTATATCAAATATTCACCTATACTTGCTATATGGAGAAATCCCAATCTACAGACAGACCCTGGGCGATAAATCTCAACAGCTACAATGGCAGTGTATGGAGTGCCATCTATTGGAGGAAAGCAATGCCTCAGGTTTCCTCACTTTTCGAAGACTCAGAATTGTCCGTTATCCCCAGTTCCGCTGCAAAACACTTGTACCGCGGGCCCATCATATCTGCAGGGTTTTGGTTCCAGGACTCACAATAGATATTTTTAAAAATATGTGAACACACATGCTTCAACACCTCCAACATTCATGTCAATGTCATTTACTAATATGGCGTGTGACGATCCACAGGTGCTGGAAAACACAGGTCTGGGGTGTCCAGTTTATTTTAAAAAACCTCAACATGTATTTGCCCTGGACCTTAATAGGGCCGGAAGAGAATAAAATGCAAGTAGTCACACATACATCAGTCAACTTTGTAGTATTTTTTTTTTAATTTCTAGGAGATAAGGGACATATTTTCCAGTAATGCCTGAAGCTGGTGAAATCTAGGTCACTATCTGAATCTAATACCACTCTATCGCTGCTGTATTTTGATCTTTGTATCATGTGTTTTGATGTATATATTTTACAGAAGGAATAATAATCTATATATATAAAAATGCTCCGTGCATAATGAGTACCTTAAAAACAAAAGAACCAATGAACGAAATCACACCAAATTTGGCAACAAAACGTCTCACAACACAAGGAGTGACTGTGAGGTGTTATTGTGTCAAAATTTCGTATCAATTCGTCCAGTGGTTTCTGGGTTATGTTAATCCCACAAACGAACATTACATTTTTATTTATATAGATTACTACTATTGGTGTCCATCGGCTTGGCGGTAACCTTACCTTGCGCATGATCTTGCGGCCATAGAACATAACTTTGTCTCTCTTGCGGAACCTGTACTGAGGCACTTGTGGCTGAGGTTGCTCTGAAAGAGAGCAGAAGGCTCATCAAAGACAGGAGAGGGTTCATTTACGAAGGACAAGTGCGTGAAGAACAAAACATTACTGATGTTTCCCATCTCTGTGTCAAACGACAGGAGATGACTTCTCTCTCTAGGATAGGGGACATGTGCTTTTGGAGATTGCCTTTTACAGTGTTCCCCTCCTTGAAGCATAGTTTATCCTAAGAACATGTTTGTTACCTTCTTAATTAAGGCCTTGTTTTTAGAGACAGACAAAGGTTGTCTCACTCCAAAAGTACACATAGTTTAACCAGAATCCTGTTATGGATGCTGCCAGAGTAGGAAGACATCTGACCTTAAACACCACACCAGTTTGGTAAAATCAGCAAGCAGTTTATTGAAGAATATATGTAGGTAAAGCAGTAAAAATAGCAAAAACAGTAAAGGTCCAATGTCTAAAATAGTCCATAGGTTTCAAGGGAAAACAAGATCCATAGGTACATAAAAATCCATGAAACAGGACAGCAGGAAAAAATCTCATACACAAATTTGAGGCTTGGGAAAAACTTGGTACATGAAACTAAAAGCACTTGAAAGCAACACCGTGATGAAATTCCAATGTTGACTCAATTGAGGCAACTATTTCCATGAATCAATATAAGACTTTTCCAGATCCCAAAAATGAAAGGAAAGCATTTCTCTTGACCTACCCACCAGATCTCTCTTTTCCTGTAAACCAGTGGTTCTCAACTTGTGGGTCTCCAGATGTTTTAGCCTTCAACTCCCAGAAATCCTAACAGCTGGTAAACTGGCTGGGATTTCTGGGAGTTGTAGGCCAGAACACCTGGGGACCCACAGGTTGAGAACCATTGCTGTAAACGAACCAATTTTCTTTGTGCCTGAGCACTCTGTCTCTCTTTACAAAAGCTTTGTTTACACTCTCATTAACTTGACTCTCCACCTGACAAATCATCTCCAGACAGTTGTTCTGAGAAAAGCTGTGAAGGGACTCTCTAAAAAATGTGGCCTTGTGAATCTTCCTGAGACAGCTCATGCCTCTCGTCTGAACTTAACTCAGGCCCAATCAAACTGTCATCCTCAATGCCAGCAGATCCAGGCCCACCATCAGGAACATCATCCCCATTCCTTTCAAGAACATCAGACACAATCACAGGCTAAAAACTAAGACTCGTGCGCCAGCTGCGACTGTACCTTGTGAAGGTGGATCTGGCCAGGGTGGTCCATGCCTTAGTCACCTCCAGATTGGACTACTGTAATGCACTCTACATGGGGCTGCCCTTGAAAATGGCCCGGAAATTTCAATTGGTCCAACAGGCAGTGGCCAGGTTATTAACTGGTGCTCCTTACAGGGAGCGGTCATTCCTCCTGTTTAAGGAGCTCCACTGGCTGCCATTCATTTTCCGGTCCCAATTCAAGGTGCAGGTTCTTACCTACAAAGCTCTAAACGGTTTAGGACCCACCTACTTGCGTGACCGCATTTCTGTGTACGAACCCACACTATCTCGCGATTGGTGGGGACGAGGGAGAGGGCCTTCTCCGTGATGGCCCCTCGACTCTGGAACTCACTCCCCAAGGACATCAGACATGCCCCAACTCTGGCAGTCTTTAGGAGGAGCCTGAAAATGTAATTCTTCCAGTGTGCCTCCCCAGAATAAGGAAACTCCCAGCAATATGTCCCCTAAATGCACTTTATTAGTGATCTAGGATTGTCTGCACGCCCCATTTTTCTCCAAAAATTCTATCCTAGTTATATTTCACCTGGTCATGCTCAGCATTATTTTTTTTAAAATGATTATTACATTTGGCCCAGCCATAGGTTTTTAAACCTTGTTGTGTTATTGTTGATGTTTACTGCTTATTTTCTGTTTATGAGTTTTATTTTATTGTTTTGCATTACTGTTGTTGTTGTTTTTGCTGATGTATTGTGGGCTCGGCCTCATGTAAGCCGCACCGAGTCCCTTGGAGAGATGGTAGCGGGGTATAAAGGATTATTATTATTATTATTATTAAAAAGGCTGACGCACAACAACCAGACTTACTGGAGTCCTTCACCTTCCTGTAAACAACATACACCACGATCCCGATGAGCAGTAAGGCAACGGCTGCCCCAATCACCATTCCAGTTAACTATGGGAAGAAATGAAACATGAAGTCTTAACATTGATGTTTTCAAACTCCTTTATCTAAGCAAAGGGCTGAGCAAAGCCACCACAATAGGATATCATGATTCTAAGATTACCATAGTGGTCTGCATTCGATCTTCCACAAACTGAAGGACACGCTTTGTGAGGTCTGAACTGGAGGCAATGCTGACCTAGAGGATGAAAACACCAGAGATATAACACAAACTGAAGGAACCAGCACCTAGTTTCTATAGATCAGTGTTTCTCAGGCTTCCTGATGCCACGACCCCTTAAAACAGTTCCTCATGTTATGGTGACCCCCAACCATAACATTATTTTCGTTGCTACTGCAATTTTGCTATTGTTACAAGTTATCATGTAAAAATCTGATTTGTAGGATGTATTTTCACTCACTAAACCAAATTTGGCACATATACCCAATACAGCCAAATTTGAATACTAGTGGGGTTGGGAGGGGATTGATTTTGTCATTTGGGAGTTGTAGTTGCTGGGATTTATAGTTCACCTACAATCACAGAGCATTTTGAACTCCACCAACAATGGAATTAAACCAAACTTCGCACACAGAACTCCCACGACCAACAGAAAATACTGGAAGGGTTTGGTGGGCATTGACCTTGAGTTTGAGAGTTGTTGTTCACCTACATCCAGAGAGCACTGTGGACTCAAACAGCGATGGATCTGGACCAAACTTGGCATGAATACTCAATATGCCCAAATGTGAACACTGGTGGAGTTTGGGGAAAATAGACATTGACATTTGGGAGTTGTAGTGGCTGGGATGTGTAGTTCACCTACAATCAAAGAGCATTCTGAACCCAACCAACAACAGAATTGGGCCAGACTTCCCACACAGAACTCCCATGCCTCAAAGGGACTCGCTGGCTCACACCTCCCTCCAGTCTCGCATACTCTCCCTCGCCCACAGATGTGCACCATGTTTCCTTGCATCGAGCACGCCTGCTCTCACCTCCTGACTCGGAGTCTCAGTATCTGCCCTCCCCTTGGTTGAGAGGCCGGCCAATGAGAGCAGAGGAGGGCTTTTGGTGGAAGGATTTGCCATCTGTTTCCAAAAAGGAAGAGAAGGACAGGTGGAGAGATCTTCAGCCTTCTCTGCCAAGGAGGTTCCTAAGACCACTAGAAATATGTTTTCTGATGGTCTTTGGTGACCCCTCTGAAACCCCCTCACGACCTCCCAGGGGTCCCGACCCCCCAGGTTGAGAAACACTGGCCTATGGGGTGTCTTCCAACCATAGAGGCCAGATTAGGGAGGCCTAATGTAGCCTCCATTTTTTATGCCGGTTCCAATCACATTATATGGCTTTGTGGAAGGACCCTAAGTCTCATCTTCTTCCCAGAAGATATTAGATGGGAACAACTAGGCATTGGAACTCTCTCTTTGGAATGATTCCCTCTTTACCTCTCTTTACCAATGAATGATAGAGGCTCTGAGAAATTGACAGCAGTGAAAGTTTAATGAAGTTCAACCTTTTCATTTCTGTTTTGTCTTTTAATACATTTTAAGTTGTTTTAATTTTATGGATTTTTCAATGGTCTTGAAATAACTTTTATAGATGTTTTACTGTTGCTCATTATGATGAAACCAACCTCTTTTTTTGTTAGACCCATAACTTTGCCAGCTAACTGAAGATGCCAAAGGAGGACAGACATGTTGGATAGTGGAGGTTGAAAATTCTTCTTTGAAAGAAGAGGGTCGATTTTGATGTTTTATACCGCTTTTTATCAACGGCATTTACTTGTTGCCAACACTGTGAACCGCCCTGAGTTCCCTTCGGGATTGAGAAGGGCGGTATACAAATACTGCAAATATTATTATTATTATTATTATTATTATTATTATTATGGCTGGATGGTCATTTGTCAGAGATACTTCAATTGTGCCTTTCTTGCATGACAGGGGATTAGACTAGATGGCCCAGGGGGGTTCCTTCCAACTATCATTCTATTATTCTATCTCCTTCCTTGGAGGCATTTGCTTTCAAACCAAGGCTGGATGGCCATCTCTTGGGAATGCTTTGATTGTGCTTTTCCTGCATCGCAGGGGGTCCGACTAGATGGCCCGAGGGGTCTTTTCCAATTCTATTATTCTATCTCCTTCCTTGGAGGCTTTTGTTTTCAAACAAAGGCTGGATGGCCATCTCTCGTGAATGCTTTGATTGTGCTTTTTCTGCATTACAGGGGGTCCGACTAGATGACCCGGTTTGGGGGGGGGGCTTCCAACTCTATCACTCTATTATTCTATCTCCTTCCTTGAAGGCTTTTGCTTTCAGACCATGGCTGGATGGCTATCTGTCAGGAATGCTTTGATTGTGCTTTTCCTGCATTGCAGGGGGTCCGACTAGATGGCCCAGGGATACCTTCCAACTCTATCACTCTATTATTCTATTTCCTTCCTTGGAGGTTTTTGCTTTCAAACAAAGGCTGGATGGCCATCTCTTGGGAATGCTTTGATTGTGCTTTTCCTGCATTGCAGGGGGTCCGACTAGATGTCCCGGGGAGTCCTTTCCAACTCTATCATTTTATCATTCTATCTCCTTCCTTGGAGGCTTTTGCCTTCAAACAAAGGCTGGATGGCCGTCTGGAATGCTTTGATTGTGCTTTTCCTGCATCGCAGGGGGTCCGACTAGATGGCCCGGGGAGTCCCTTCCAACTATCATTCTATTAAGTTCTTGTGGGTTTTTTCGGGCTATATGGCCATGTTCTAGAGGCATTCTCTCCTGACGTTTCGCCTGCATCTATGGCAAGCATCCTCAGAGGTGAGGTCTGTTGGAACTGGGAAAAGGGGTTTATATATCTGTGGAATGACCAGGTGAGACTAAGGGCTTTTGTAAGTTGGGCTAGGTGTGAATCTTTCAACTGACCACCCTGATTAGCATACAATGGGCTGACTGTGCCTGGAGCAAACTCTTCTTGAAAGGTGATTAGATGTCCCTGCCTGTTTTTCTCTCTGCTGTTTTTGCAGTTGCAATTTTAGAATGTTTAAATACTGGTAGCCAGATCTTGTTCATTTTCATGGTTTCCTCCTTTCTGTTGAAATTGTCCACATGTTTGCTCCAGGTACAGTCAGCCCACTGTATGCTAATCAAGGTGGTCAGTTGAAATATTCACACCTAGCTCCAGCAGACAAGAATCCTTTGTCTCACCCTGGTCATTCCACAGATATATAAACCCTTTTTCCCAGTTCCAACAGACCTCACCTCTGAGGATGCTTGGCATAGATGCAGGCGAAACGTCAGGAGAAATGCCTTTAGAACATTTGTTTGCTTTCAGGCTGGATGGCCATCTGTCGGGAATGATTTGATTGTGCTTTTCCTGCATCGCAGGGGGTCCGACTAGATGGCCCAGGGGTTCCTTTCCAACTCTATTATTCTATTATTCTATCTCCTTCCTTGGAGGCTTTTGCTTTCAAACCAAGGCTGGATGGCCATCTGTCGGGAATGATTCGATTGTGCTTTTCCTGCATCGCAGGGGGTAGCTTCCAACTCTATGAATGAAAATGTGAGAGGGTGTCATGCCAAGTTGACAAACTTTGTTTTGTGGTTTTCTTCTGCATTGTGACTGTATCCTCAATTCGCTTCTGACACGGTAGGTCAATGAATAAGGACTGGTGGCTGGAGAAGTGAAGGCCGCAGAAGGAAGGGAGGGAGAAAGGAAGGGAGGCAGGAGAGCGGCCTACCTGCGGGTCTTGGCCCGGGGCTCCTTCTCCTTCGCCTGCCATGGCCGAGCGGGGAGAAGGCCCTTTCCCCTCAGAAGGGAGCCCGAGGGAGGGCCAAACTCACACTCAGGCTTCACAGGCCTCGCCAGGCTGCACTCTCCCCGCCATGACGGTGAGGGAAAACTGCGGTCTCCACTTCCCTGTGTGTCACTTCCGCCGTCCAATGGGAACCTCAGGAGGGTTGGGCCGAGGGAGGAAGGAGTCAGTGATTGGACGAAAAAGGGGTAGAATACGGTCAACATTATCCAATCGGAGCTCGCCATAGAGAAAAACAAGGAAGATGATTGGAGGGTGAGTTAGGAAGGGGCGTGTCCTCACCAATTGAGGGAGGGAAACAGAAATGGAGAAGAACCGGCATTCTCCTGAGGGAAGATTAAAAAGGCGAAGGTGATTGGAAGCTGAAGCAGAAAGGGGCGTGTCCTCAGTAGCCGCTTAGCCAATGAAAGCCGACGATACGTAGTTTATGCTTGACGGAAGCAACAGTCAATGCGATTAGAGAAGAGTCGACGCCTGGGGTGGGGAAAAGGGCGTGGCGTCGTCGGCGCCCCATCCAATGAAAGGCGGCGATACGTAGTTAATGCTTGACGGAAGGAACGGTGAAAGTGATTGGAGGAGATTCGACATCGGGAATGGTAAATTAACTGGAAGCTGAGGCAGAAAGGGGCGTGTCCTCAGTAGCGGGTTAGCCAATGAAAGGCGACGATACGTAGTTAATGCTTGACGGAAGGAACTGTGAAAGGGATTGGAGGAGAGTCAACGCCAGGAGTGGGAAGGGGCGTGGCGTCGTCGGCGACTCAGCCAATGAGAGAGCGGCGATTCTGAAGGAAGCTGTGGGAGAGGAAGAGGCTTTCATTTGACTTCCGGCGGCCTCGGAGGAAGGACGCAATGGGCGTGCTGAGCGAGCTGAGCCGGGGCCTAGTCCGCGGGGCGGACCGGATGTCGGCCTGGACTAGCAAGCGAGGGCCGCGGACTTTCTACAAGAGCCGCGGGGCGAAGATGCTGGGCTACCGGACGGCCGGGGGAAAGTTCCGGCTGGTCCCAGAGCAAGTCCCGCGGCTGGTGGTGCCGGACTTGAGCGGCTTCAGGCTCAAGGCCTACGTGTCCTACAGGGCGCCGGCCGGCAGCGAGCCTCCCCTCACGGCCCGGGCCTTGTTCCAGCGCACCGCCGCCGCCCAGATCGAGAAGGACCTGAAAGAAGGCGCCTTCGACCCGGAAAGGCTGGAGAAGTACGGCTTCGAGCCCAGCCAGGAAGGGAAGCTCTTCCAGCTCTTCCCCAAGAACTTCGTCCGGTAGGGAAGGGGCATTTCCGGATACGAGATGAGGAACAATAGCATCTCCCCAGGGATGAAGGGCCTCAAAATGCAAGGGAAGGGTTCCCAGGACTAAACAATACACGGCAGAATGAGAAAACCCATTGAAATGAGCATTTTTGGGTGGAAGATGAGGCTCCAAACCTTCTCTCAAGTGATAAAGAGCCTCAAAATGCCACAAAGAATCCATTGAAAGGTTCCCGAGACAAAATAATACATTGCAAAATGAGAAAATCCATTGAAATTAGCAATTTTGGGTGGAATATGAGGTTCAAAATCATCTCTCAAGTGATAAAGGGTCTCGAAATGCAACAAAGAATTCATTTTGAGCTTCCTGAGACTAAATACATTGCATAATGAGGAAATCCATCAAAATGAGCATTTTTGGGTGGAAGATGAGGCTCAAAATCATCTCTCAAGTGATGAAGGGCCTCAAAATACCACGACAAATTTATTCCAAGCTTCCAGAGACTAAATAATACATTGCAAAATGAGAAAATCCATTGAAATGAGCATTTTTCGGTGGAAGATGAGGCTCCAAACCATCTCTCAAGTGATAAAGAGCCTCAAAATGCCACAAAGAATCGATTGAAAGGTTCCCAAGACTAAACAATACATTGCAAACCAGGAAATCCATTGAAATGTGCATTTTTGGGTGGAAGATGAAATTCAAAACACTCTCAAGTGATGAAGGGCCTCAAAATACCACAAAGAATTCATTTCAAGCTGAGACTCAATAATAGTAATAATAATAATAATACATTGCAAAATGAGAAAATCCATTGAAATGAGCATTTTTGGGTGGAAGATGAGGCTCAAAATCATCTCTCAAGTGACAAAGGGTCTCAAATGCCACAAATAATCCATTGAAAGCTTCCCAAGACTAAATAATACATTGCAAAATGAGAAAATCCCTTGAAATGAGCATTTTTGGGTGGAAGATGAAATTCAAATTACTCTCAAGTGATGAAGGGCCTCAAAATGCTTCGAAGAATCCATTGAATGGTTTCCAAGACTAAATAATACATTGCAAAATGAGAAAACCCATTGAAATTGCTTTTTCTGAAGAGAAGATGAGGAACAGAACCATCGCTCAGGTGATTAACTGCTTCAAAATGCCACAAAGAACTCATTTCAAGGTTCCAGAGATGAAATAATACATTGCAGAATGAGAAAATCCAATGTAATGAGCATTTTTGGGTGGAAGATGAGGTTCCAAACTAATCTCTCAAGTGATAAAGAGCCTCAAAATGTCTCAAAGAATCCATTGAAAGCTTCCCAAGACTAAATAATACGTTGCAAAATGAGAAAACCCTTTGAAATTGGTTTTTTTGAATACAAGAGGAACAAAACCATCACTTGGGTGATTAACGGCCTCAAAATGCCACACAGAACTCATGTCAAGGTTCCAGAAAGAAAATTACTGCCATCTAAGTCTGTTAAAATAACATTTTTGTATTAAAATAGGGGGGAAATGCTACCCAGTTGAGAAAGCGCCTTGAAAATGTTCTAAAGTTGATTTATTGAAGCTGATGCACTCTGAGAAGGCACACTTAATGCTTTCTAGGTTTTGATGAATGAGACTCTTGGAATTGAACTGAGTAAAAGTGGAAAGGATTCATAACAGTTGGTGTGTTTTTCTTTCTATCTTGTTATGCTCAAATCCCACCAGACAGGTGCCATTTCATTTTTGGGAGGGGGAGGAGGCAGAGGTCTCTGGGGAAATCAAAGGCAGTTCAGTAACTCTGATGACATATATGTGGGTCGGCCCAGCAGTCTTAATGGCCTTCTAGAAAGTACAGTTCTGGGAGGCATTTAGACTTTTTTTATTGTATCAGGAGTGACTTGAGAAACTGCAAGTCGCTTCTGGTATGAGAGAATTGGCCGTCTGCAAGGACGTTGCCCAAGGGACGCCCGGATGATTTGATGTTTTTATTATCCTTGTGGGAGTCTTCTCTCATGTCCCCGCATGAGGAGCTGGAGCTGATAGGCCACCTCCCCCCAGATTCGAACCTGCGACCTGTCGGGTCTTCAGTCCTGCCGGCACAGGGATTTAACCCACTGCGCCACCGGGGGCTCCATTCAGACATTGAAAACATAGATTCGATTGGAATTTCTTTCTGAGAGTTGAAAGCCAAAACATTTGAAAGCCAAAAACATAGATATCGAGGGGTATAACCTCTTTCACAGAAACCGAACAAAGGGGAGAGGAGGCGGAGTAGCCTTATATGTCAAAAACTCTTATGCTGCAGAAGAGATTCAAGACAGCAATCTGGGAAACCAGCTCGAAATCATCTGGATAAGAATCAAGGGACAGGGCCAGATCAACTACACCCAGGAGTATTGAAGGAACTAGCGGAAGTCATTTCGGAACCATTGGCAATCATCTTTGGAAGTTCTTGGAGAACGGGAGAAGTTCCAGCAGATTGGAGGAGGGCCAATGTGGTCCCAATCTTCAAGAAGGGAAAAAAGGATGACCCAAACAACTACCGTCCGGTCAGCCTCACGTCGATACCGGGCAAGATTCTGGAAAAGATTGTTAAGGAAGCGGTCTGCAAACACTTAGAAACAAATCCAGTCATCGCTAATAGTCAACATGGATTTATCAAAAACAAGTCATGCCAGACTAATCTGATCTCTTTCTTCGATAGAGCTACAAGCTGGGTAGATGCGAGGAATGCCGTGGATGTAGCGTACCTGGATTTCAGTAAGGCCTTCGACAAGGTCCCCCATGACCTTCTGGCAAGGAAACTAGTCCAATGTGGGCTAGGCAAAACTACGGTGAGGTGGATCTGTAATTGGTTAAGTGGACGAACACAGAGAGTGCTCACTAATGCTTCCTCTTCATCTTGGAAAGAAGTGACAAGTGGAGTGCCTCAGGGTTCCGTCCTGGGCCTGGTCCTGTTCAACATCTTTATTAATGACTTAGATGAAGGGCTAGAAGGCATGATCATCAAGTTTGCAGACGACACCAAATTGGGAGGGTTAGCCCATACTCCAGAGGACAGGAGCAGGATTCAAAATGATCTTGACAGATTAGAGAGATGGGCCAAAACTAACAAAATGAAGTTCAACAGTGACAAATGCAAGATACTCCACTTTGGCAGAAAAAGTGAAATGCAAAGATACAGAATGGGGGACGCCTGGCTCGAGAGCAGTACGTGTGAAAAAGATCTTGGAGTCCTCGTGGACAACAAGTTAAACATGAGCCAACAATGTGATGTGGCGGCCAAAAAAAAGCCAATGGGATTTTGGCCTGCATCAATAGGAGCATAGTGTCTAGATCTAGGGAAGTCATGCTACCCCTATTCTGCTTTGGTTAGACCACACCTGGAATATTGTGTCCAATTCTGGGCACCAAATTCAAGAGAGATATTGACAAGATGGAATGTGTCCAGAGGAGGGCGACTAAAATGATCAAGGGTCTGGAGAACAAGCCCTATGAGGAGCGGCTTAAGGAGCTGGGCATGTTTAGCCTGAAGAAGAGAAGGCTGAGAGGAGATATGATAGCCATGTATAAAATATGTAAGAGGAAGCCACAGGGAGGAGGGAGCAAGCTTGTTTTCTGCTTCCCTGGAGACTAGGACGCGGAACAATGGCTTCAAACTACAAGAGAGGAGATTCCATCTGAACATTAGGAAGAACTTCCTGACTGTGAGAGCCGTTCAGCAGTGGAACTCTCTGCCCCGGAGTGTGGTGGAGGCTCCTTCTTTGGAAGCTTTTACGCAGAGGCTGGATGGCCATCTGTCAGGGGTGATTTGAATGCAATATTCCTGCTTCTTGGCAGGGGGTTGGACTGGATGGCCCATGAGGTCTCTTCCAACTCTTTGATTCTATGATTCTATGAATTCATTGGGAATTCCAGACAAGAAACAATCAGGTCCAGCTAACACCTCCCAGCAAATGATTTACCTAGGCAGGAAGCAGCCAGGCTTTGAAGCTGCAAGTGGCAGTTGATACAGGTTTCTGTTCTGTATGCTTTCACTGCATTTGGAAATTGTTTACCTTACTATATTCAGCCACTCAATGTGTTCCCTTTTCCCAATTTATATATTGACTTTACTTGAAGAATTCTCCACTTTGAAGCTGCAAGGCCATTCAATGCTGATCAAGCTGGCCAATGGCAACATTTACACTTGCCTCAGACAATAGTTCTTTCTCCCACCCTGGACATTCCACAGATACATAAACCCCACTTGCTTAGTTTCCAACAGACCTCACAACCTCTGAGGATGCCTGCCATAGATGTGGGCAAAACGTCAGGAGAGAATGCTTCTGGAACGTGGCCAGACAGCCCGGAAAAACTCTCAGCAACCCAGTGATTTTTTCCAAGAAAGCCTTCGACAATAGCTGTTAGGATTTCCATGGAGTTGAGGGCCAAAACATCTGGGGGGGACCACAGGTTGAGAAGTACTGCTCTGGAATATTTTTCATTACCAATCCCACATCCTAAGTGTTAACCTGGACGGATCCCGCTTAGCTTCCAAAATCAGGCAGGATCTGGTGCTGTATATCCTTTCATACCCTGAGGAAAAGCTGAACTACAGAAGTTGCAAGCAGGCATCACTCGTGTATTAGAAAGGTCAAAACTGTTTTTAATTCAACATCTTTGTTTACAATGCTGGTGTGCGTATCTGTGCATCAGTGCCCTAAGGTGGCATTGCTGAGCCTCCAGCTGCAAGTACTTTTGCAGCACTGAGGAATTTGCAAAATCCTCCTTCCGAATACTGAATGTTGCTGGTGGTCTTTCGTTGCGTGATATGAAAGTGAGGTGAGCATCAAAACTGCTTCCTGCTAGTAAAAAACCTGGCTTGCATCCAAAGCAATCTTATAGAGCAAACTTGGGCCCTTCGGGTGTTTTGGACTCCAACTCCCACAATTCCTAACAGCCTACCGGAATTGTGGGAGTTGGAGTCCAAAACACCCGGAGGGCCCAAGCTTGCCCAGGCTTCCTGAAGAAGAGGCATACTATGGAATAGCAGCAAACACAATCTGTGTATTTGATCCTTTCTATAAGTAAACAAGCCATTCAACGGCTATTTAAAAGTGAAGCCAATCGTAAGCCCTAACTTATTTGAAGCTGGTGTTTTGGAAAAAAAGAAGGAAATGGAGCTAGGAATAAGGTGGGAGTAAATATACTAAGACTGGTCTTGAGATAGGGCAAAGGAGGGATATAAAGGTTTACATCATTGGGATAAAATAATAACTGTCCACACAAGACAATTGGACTACAGAACCCACTCTATAGGCTTTGTTCTGCAGCAAGGAGGGAGAGGGAAGCAACACCTTCCCTGAAATACCTGAGCACTTGTCAAAGCTCTCAGAGCCACAAAGGGCAATCTGGAGTAAAGCTGGAAACCTGGCTTAGGAAATATAAACATGGGATGGCATTGATGCCAGCGCCTACCTTTCCCTCCAATGCTTAAGGAAGAAAGGCAGGTCAGTGGCCACCTAAATCAATGCCGACTCGCCTGGCTAGTCTCCCATTTCCACACGTGGAGCACGTTGTCGTAAAAGGAACATGTAGCCAAGAGGCTGGTCTCTTTGCTGGCGTGCGTGGCCTCCGTTTCCGCCCGGGCTTTGGCGCCGCACGCGTCTCCGTCCACGCTTGATCCCTCTGCGTCGCCGCTTCCTTGGGCCGAGGACGCAGGGGGATGTTCCTCCTCCTCCAGCAACACGTCGAAAGTGGCTGTGGGCGACTCGTACACGATCTTGAGGTTCTGCACTCTCAGATCGGCCACCCCGTCTCCTTGATCCAGATGCTCTGCCGGCGTCGGGACAGGAAGCACCGAGGGATCGCTCAGGAGGAGCCTCGACCAGTCGGCACCGTAAGCCAAGGAATTGTGCAAGATGTAAGATGAAAGAATAGCGCATTCCTCTTTGTTCTCCCCTAACGGACAGAAAAAAGATAGCAGAAAGTAACTTAGATCTAGTTAATGATACCTGCTACAGCAGTGGTTCGCAACCTGGGGGTCGGGACCCCTGTGGGGGTCGCCAGGGAGTGTCAGAGGGGTCGCCAAAGACCATCAGAAAACACAGTATTTTCTGTTGGTTATGTGGGTTCTATATGGGAAGTTTGGCCCAATTTGATTGTTGGTGGGGTTCAGAATGCTCTTTGATTATAGGTGTACTATAAATCCCAGCAACTACAACTCCCAAATGTCAAGATCTATTTTCCTCAAACCCAACCAGTGTTCCCATTTGGTCATATTGAGTATTTGTGCCAAGTTTGGTCCAGATCCATCATTGTTTGAGTCCACAGTGGTTTCTGGATGTAGGTGAACTACCACTCCAAACTCAAGGTCAGTGCCCACTAACCCCTTCCAGTGTTTTCTGTTGGCTTCTTTGTGTGCCAAGTTTGGTTCAATTCCATTGTTGGTGGAGTTCAGAATGTTCTTTGATTGTAGATGAGCTATAAATCCCAGAAACTACAACTCCCAAATGACAAAATCAATCAATCCCCCCCTCAACCAACCCCACCACTATTCAAATTTGGGCATATCGGGTATTTGTGCCAAATTTGGTCCTGTGAATGAAAATACATCCTGCTTATCAGATAATTGCATTACAATTCATAACAGGAGCAAAATTACAGTTATGAAGTAGCAAAATAATGTTATGGTTGGGGGTCACCACAACATGAGGAACTGTATTAAGGGGTCACGGCATTAGGAAGGTTGAGAAACACTGTGCTACAGCAATGGTGGTAAATGTATTGTCGAAGGCTTTTATGGCCGGAATCACTGGGTTGTTGTAGTTTTTTCCGGTTTGACGCCCCCCCCCGCCCCCCCGCAACCAATCATTGATATAAATTTTCTGTTCGTCGTTGGAGTTCTGTGTGCCATATTTGGTTCAATTCCATCATTGGTGGAGTTCAGAATGCTCTTTGATTGTAGGTGAACTATACATCCCAGTAACTACACTTGCCGCACTTGCTCCCTTGCCTGGCCTACTTTGGGTCCGGAGGCGTGCCTGAAGACGTGTGCACCAAAAGTCACCTCTTCTCCTGACTTTCTCCTCAGCCATTGGGACAGAGAGAGAGAGAGAGAGAGAGAGAGAGAGGTGGAGATGCCCACCTTTCCTGAAGGTAGGCGCAAAAACAAAGGAGGGAGCGGAGGTGGGAGATACCTCCAGCCGGAGGGGCTCTCTCTCTCTCTCTCGGTCCCAATGGCTGAAGAGAAAGTCAGGAGAAGAGGCGACTTTTGGTGCGCATGCTGGGGTCTTCAAACACGCCTCTGGACCCGAAGTGGGCCAGGCGTGGCGGCTCCGCCCCTTGGCCCACCCGCGGATTGGGGAGAGGAGAGGAAGCGGGTGGAGCACAGGGGGTTTGGAAAAGGGAACCGGTCATGGGGAAGGGATCGAATGCGGAGAACAATTGAGCACCGGCTCTGCTTGCGCACCCGGTGGCCGGGTGGAGCAGGAACGAGAGGGGCTAGGCGAGGCTCAAGGGCCCGGCCCCTTTGGGGAGAGGATCGCCCAGCAGTGAGGCAAGAAAGCCGAGGCTCCACCCGGACTGCTAGAGCTGTTGTGAGCTGAGGAGGCGCTCCTCAAGTGGCAGTCGAGGGGCATTTACAGAGGTGCCTCTGCGCCCCTGGCAAAAAAAAAAGTGTTCTGCAACTGCTTACTTCGCGTAATGGACGAGCCGCCTCTGGCCGGAATCACTGGGTTGTTGTAGTTTTTTCCGGGCTATATTCTTACCTATAAAGCCCTGAAAAGTTTGGGACCTGCATGACCGCATTTCCGTATATAAACCCACACGGTCTCTTCGCTCATCTAGAGAGGCCCCGCTCTCGCTGCCCTCGCCGGTGCAATTGGTGGGGACAAGGGAGCAGGTCATTCCACAGATATATTATACAGCTGTGCAGAAGGGGCCTGACTCTTAATGGATACGTAGCAAATCAGCAACTGATCTCAAACCAGCTCTTTGGGGGGGTATATTATTATTATTATTATTATTATTATTATTATTATTATTATTATTATTATCGTGTCAAGATTTGCTCTTATCCACTTGACGAAGTCAGAATATGAAGCAGCCAAAACAGGCCAGTTTCACATGCTGTTGAAATATATTTCCATTCCAAATAAAACAATTAGGAACGTATCTACCCACCTCCAAGCCGGCTCCTTAGTGTCCCACACTCCTTCTATGGCAAACTCCCAAGATCAAAACACTCACCCATCGGGCCTTGGCAATCGAGGATTTTGAAGCCGTTGTGCATGCAGGCCGCCATCAGCAAATGCTCCCGTTTCGGGTGCCATTTTAACCTCCACACGCCGCCCTGCACGTGGGTCCCTGCCAACGGCTGCTTCATACTCCGGGTGTCCCATAACAGAACATGCTCATCGTAGCTGGGAGGAACAGGACGGTGCTTAGGAACTATTATATTGTAATTATATATTTGTACTACATGTAATATTACGATATAGTGGTATGAAGCAATATAGCAATGTTTCATGCTGATATTGTACTATGCTAATAATATAATATATTGTATGTAATATATATCTTGTAAGCCGCTCTGAGTCCCCCTTCAGGGTGAGAAGGGTGGCATATAAATGTCATAAATAAATCTATATAAATAAAAATGTAATGTTCGTTTGTGGGATTAACAGAACTCAAAAACCACTGAATGAATTGACACCAAATTTGGACACAAGACACCTAAAATCCAATGTATGTCCTTCACTAAAAAAAAAATGAGTTTGTTATTTGGGAGTTGTTGTTGGGATTTATAGTTCACCTACAATCAAAGAGCATTCTGAACTCCACCAACGATGGAATTGAACCAAATGTGGCACACAGGACTCCCATGACCAACAGAAAACACTAGAAGGGTTTGGTGGGCATTGACCTTGAGTTTGGGAGTTGTAGTTCACCTACATCCAGAGAGCACTGTGGATTCAATGATGGATTGGACCAAACTTGGCACGAATATACCATATGCCCAAATATGAACACAGATGGAGTTTGGAGGAAATAAACCTTGACATTTGGGAATTGTAGTTACTGGGATTTATAGTTCACCTACAATTAAAGAGCATTCTGGATCCCACAAACTACAGAATTGGGGCAAATTTCCCACACAGAACCCCCATGACCAAGAGAAAATACTTAAGGCCATCCAGTCCAAATCTCTTCACCAAGACAAGAAAATGTAATCAGAGCCCTCCTGACAAAGAGCCATCCAGTCATAAATATAGATAGATAGATAGATAGATAGATAGATAGATATGATAGTATTTGAAAGGGACCCCTAAAGGAAGACAATAATATGTTCCATGATCCAGAGTAGACAAACCAGACACTCTCCACATCAACACTGACAAAGAAACAACAAAAAATACTGTTTACCCACAAACATAAATAAATTACATAGATTAGAAACCATCACTTTCTCATTACTTTATTTTCCAGATCACCAGACTAGGCCACAGCAACGCGTGGCAGGGGACAGCTAGTAAATAATAAATAAACGAATACGGGGTGGGCTTTCAAGCTCTGTGGTTCCTTAGCAAACCTTTGCTCTTTTGCTATGGCTCCCAACAGAGCAGCTACCTTTTTTGAGACACGTGATATCAATGGGATGCTCTTATGTCTGACCCATCACCATTAGGTAAGATACAATAATAATAATAATAATAATAATAATAATAATAATAAACTTTATTTATACCCTGCCACCATCTCCCCAGTGGGGACTCGGAGCGGCTAACATGGGGCCAAGCCCAGACAACATATTACAGCAATAAAATCAAAACAAACAACAACAACAACAACATCAGAATACAATAATAATAACAATAATAAGTCATAAAATAACATTCTAATAAACAAAGTCACAAGAAACTTACCTCCCAGTGGCCAGCAGGTTCTCCACAAGTGGGTGACACTGAATGCTGCACACACCCATTGAATGCCTGCAATGCAAGTTGGATCAAAAATGAGGCTTTCCATGAATGTCATCATGCCTCAACGGTTTGAAGACTGAGCTTCTGTCTAACAAACTGAGAGGCTAATTAATACCTACCTCTCACTACTGAAGACAGGAGTTCTGGGATTACTTCGAGTGTCCCAGCCTTGCAACTTGCAATCGTCTCCTCCTGAAACAAAAGTGGGGCAGAAATTATTATTATTACTATGGAACTCAGTGCCATTGCCAAAAGCAATGGAGAATCCAAAAGCTACGGCAGACCTAAACACAGACCTGAATACACAATGCATGTGTTCCAGTAGTTAAATGCGGCAATCCAGGCCTCAAAGTCATGCGCCTTCCATTGCTGCACGATGCGCAAAGCCGGGGCAGTTTCGTCGACGGAGAGCAAGCTCAGCCTCCCTTTGGAATCACTGCTGACTAGCTGCAGAGGGCAGTCACTGCTAGAAAAAAAAACAGCAAATAGCAAAGGCAAGTGGTGGGGGGCACAATCAAAGCCCTCCTAACAGATGGCCATCCAAAGGAGACTCCGCCAGACTCCCAGATAGAAAATTCCACTGTTGAAGGAGCTCTTACCATCAGGAAATTCTTTCTCAGGTCTACACTGAAACCCTCCAATCCCCACCCATCAAACTAAGGTCTTCTGCTCACCTTTGCTCCCGTCCCGTGGACCAATCCAGAGACAAAGCCAGGCATTCGTCTCCCAGGTTTGCGCTGCATAGCGCTTCCAGTCTGCAGCTCTTTTTCTACTGGAGAGAAAAGAAAACTGATCAAAGTCGGACAGACCGGAGGAAGGACGTGCAATTCAGAATCAGTTCAGAAGCCGATCTCAACGCAATTCAAGTCAAAAAGGCAGTGCTCACTTTGTAAACAGTGATGCCTGGCAGATTTCCTGTCCACCTACCTCACTTCCTGTCAAGCGGGAGAGCTCCACCGCCCCCTTGGCGTTCGCAATGCCTAAGACAGGATGCTCAGCGATAGGAGTGTGGCACCTGGAAGAGGATTTCCAAAATTGAGAATTCACAATCGCCTTTTGGAGGGCTAACAACAATAACAATTTCAATCAAACCTCACCCAATTTATTTTATTTAATTCTTAGATCATAGGTGTTTTGCATGCAGAACAAACAAGTAACTACATTTTGTTGTCGAAGGCTTTCATGGCCAGAATCTCTGGATTGTCGTGAGTTTTCCGGGCTGCCTGGCCATGTTCCAGAAGCATTCTCTCATGACGTTTTGCCCACATCTACGGCAGGCATCCTCAGAGGTTGAGGGGCCTATTGGAAACTAGGCAAGTGGGGTTTATATATCTGTGGCATGATGTCCAGGGTGGGAGAAAGAACTCTTGTCTGCTTGAGGCAGAAGCATTCTCTCCTGACGTTACGCCCACATCTATGGCAGTCATCCTCAGAGGTTGTGAGATCTGTTGGATACTAGGCAAGGGGGGTTTATATATCTGGGGAATAATGTCCAAGGTGGGAGAAAGAGCTCTCGTCTGCTTGAGGGAAGTGTGAATGTTGCAATTGGTCACCTTGATTAGCACTGAATGGTCTTGCAGTTTCAAGGCTTGGCTGCTTCCTGCTTGAGGGGAATCCTTTGTTGAGAGGATTTGATGGCCCTGATTGATTCCTGTCTGGAATTCCCCTGCTTTTTGAGTCTTGCTCTTTATTTACTATCCCGATTTTAGAGTTTTTTTTATACCAGTAGCCAGATTTTGAATTGCCTTGCAGTTTCAAGGCATGGCAGCTTCCTGCCTGGCAGAATCCTTTTTTGGGAGGTATTAGATGGCCCTGGTTGATTCCTGTCGGGAATTGCCCTGCTTTTTTACTCTTGTTCTTTATTTACTATCCTGATTTTAGAGGGTTTTTTTGAATACTGGTAGCCAGATTTTGAATGGACTTGCAGTTTCAAGGCTTGGCTGCTTCCTGCTTAGGAGAATCCTTTGTCGGGAGGTATTTGATGGCTCTGATTTATTATTGTCTGGAATTCCCCTGCTTTTTTAGTCTCCCTTTTATTTTGAATCGACTTGCAGTTTCAAGGCCTGGCTGCTTCCTGCCTGGGGGAATCCTTTGTTGGGAGGTGATTAGCTGCCCCAACAAACACACAGACCAAGAGCCAAATGTGTTTCTGAGTATTTGTAGACTGTAGGCATACTTTGAAATTTTATTTTATTTCTTACCCACCTCTCCTAATGGCTCAAGGCAGGTTACAACACAGCTAAATACACATAATCATTATAAGCATTCTATAATTCGTACATATGAAAAGTATTTCTGTAGAATATATATTAAAATACACAGAAGAAAGACTGAAACACAAGACGCGAGTTTAAAATTCATGATCAAACCTGACTGGGTTGGCCTGCCCATTACTATACTATAGATCATTAAAAGGTGAAATGATCTATCGTAGGTTGAGGTATTCGATCAGAAAAGCGCACCCCCCTGCAACCTTACAGCGCAACCATTTAGGGGTCAACTGAGCATTGTCTCCTTCCAATGCTACGTACCATTTGATGTCCAGCACAGCTGCTGTCTCCAGCCTTTGAATCTCGGTCAGTGGTGCAAAAGGTTGCTCTTCAAAGTGATAGAGGTAAAGCCGACCCAGACGTACATGGGGCTCATTGTTTTCATTGGGGTTCTCTCCAGGCTGAAATGGGAGCAAAATTACAAAGATTCTTGTTCCACTTCATCCTCTTGCTGTGTCCTGAATTGACTGCCAGCCGAAGAGACTGGGATGAGAGATTATTCAGCATCAACTATCATTCAGGGTTGGGCCGAGAGGACAAAAGACCCCGTCAAACTGCAATTCCCAGAGTACTGAACCATGGAAGACAAAGTAGGGGCAAAATGTACTAATTCAATAGAATGGATGCATCCTAAAATTTACATGGAAACCCTTAGGAATGATTTGGGAGACAGCAACACTTGCATTGCACTGTTTATGAGTAAGATCACACCCCAATAACAAACAATAAAACCACAGTTCATGTTAGTTTCACATGATCATCCATTCTTGAGCAGAGAAGTATTCACTTTCACACACATACACACACATATATGAGAAAAATAATACTCTTCTAAAGAATACAGAATGCATACATAAACATATATTTTATATATATAATATAGACATACTATAGATATACAAACATACATATAATACATGTATTTATAATAGATAATATAGATATGCATACACATATAATATATATAATTTGTAAATATTTCATGGACATACATAAATATAATATATAAAATATAATACATATAATATAAATTATATATACACAGTATTATATTCGGTATAAATATAATAATTCTTCCTTTAACGCCATCCATTGTACAGAAAGCACAACTGTTCCTACTCAACTTTATTCTGAGGTTGAGCTTTCAGAGGCACCTAATCTGTCGAATCAATGGGGGTTGTAGTTTGGTGAGGTACCATCGCCCTTTGGCAGAGGCGGCTAACGGCTATGTAGAACTACAACTCCCATTATTCTAGACTGTGTAAAGGGAGTGCATTTTTGGTAGAGAAGGTTCAAGACCTTGTTAAACTATAGCTCCTATGATGTCATAGCACTAAGCCATGGCAGTCCAAAAAGTGTCAAACTGCATTAATTCCAGATCCACCCAAGGAAGAGATCCCTCACCTGGCTGGATGGCTTCTTCAGCTGGTAGGTGCCACATGCAAGGAGGCCATGCCAGCCTTCGACCGGGCACCACTCCACTGCATCCGCACTGTATTCGGTGTCCACCACCTGCAAGGTTTGCGTCTTGCACAGGGCAGCCATGTCACAGCATCACCATCTTGATCTGGAAGGAACAGCAAAGGAAGAAGGGGAATGCAAGAGGGATATAAGTCAGAGATGAGATATGTATATGCCAGTGTAGACTCCCATCACACAGTATGCATAATATGTGCATTATATATGCATTTTGTGGTCACTGTAGATTCCTATAACCCAGTTAAAACTATATAGGCATTATATGTGCATTATATATGCATTCTGTGATCAGTGTGGAGTCTGATATTGTTTATATATGCATTAAATGAGCATTATATGTATAGTGTAGACACCTATAACTTAGTCACAACTATGTATGCATTATATGTGCATTATATATGCATTCTTTGATTAGTGTGAAGTCTCATAATATACTTAAAACCATATGTGCATTGTATGAGCATTCTATGTGCAGTGTAGACAGCTATAACTCAGTCACAACTATGTATGCATTATATGTGCATTATATATGCATTCTGTGTTCAGTGTGGAGTCTGATAATATAGTTTATATATGTATTATATGAGCATTCTATGTGCAGTGTAGACACCTATAACTCAGTCACAACTATGTATGCATTATATGTGCATTATATATGTATCCTGTGGTCAGTGTAGGCTCCTATGATGCATTATATGTGTGCATTATATATGCGTTTTATGGTTAGTGTAGACTCCTATGACACAGTTAAAACTATATTTCCATTGTATATGCATTCTATGATCGATGTGGACTGTTATAATGCAGCCAAAACTATATATGCATTATATGAGCATTGTATGTTCAGCGTGGACCATATAATGCAGTTAAAACTATACATGCATTATATGCGCATTATATATGTATTCTATGATCAGTGTGAACTCTAATAATATAGTTAAAACTATATATGCATTATATATGAAGTCTATGTTCAGTGTAGATCCCTATAATGCAATTAAAACTATATATGCATTATATGTGCATTCTATATTCAGTGCAGACTCCAATAATGCAGCTAAAACGCTATACACACACACGCATTCTATGATTGGTGTGGATGATAATATATATGCATTTTTGTCTGATATATATATGCATTATATGGTCAGAGTTGACTCCTAAAAGGCAGTAAAACCTTATAGGTATTATACATGCATTCCATAGTTATTCTATAGTCAGTTTAGACTCTAATACATAATATAGTTGAACTATATATGCATTGTATGTGCATTCTATGTTCATTGTAGACTCCAATAATGCAGCTAAAACGCTATATATATATATGCATTCTATGCTCGGTGTGGATGATAACATATATGCATTTTTGTATGATATATATGCATTATATGGTCAGAGTAGACTCCTATACGGCAGTAAAACTACATATGTGTATTATATATAATATATATGCATTATATAGGATCATAGAATCATAGAATCAAAGAGTTGGAAGAGACCTCATGGGCCATCCAGTCCAACCCCCTGCCAAGAAGCAGGAATATTGCATTCAAATCACCCCTGACAGATGGCCATCCAGCCTCTGTTTAAAAGCTTCAAAGAAGGAGCCTCCACCACACTCCAGGGCAGAGAGTTCCACTGCTAAACGGCTCTCACAGTCAGGAAGTTCTTCCTCATGTTCAGATGGAATCTCCTCTCTTGTAGTTTGAAGCCATTGTTCCGCGTCCTAGTCTCCAGGGAAGCAGAAAACAAGCTTGCTCCTCCTCCCTGTGGCTTCCTCTCACATATTTATACATGGCTATCATATCCCCTCTCAGCCTTCTCTTCTTCAGGCTAAACATGCCCAGCTCCTTAAGCCGCTCCTCATAGGGCTTGTTCTCCAGATCTTTTATCATTTTAGTCGCTCTCCTCTGGACACATTCCAGCTTGTCAATATCTCTCTTGAATTGTGGTGCCCAGAATTGGACACAATATTCCAGATGTGGTCTAACCAAAACAGAATAGATGGGTAACATTACTTCCCTGGACCTAGACACCATGCTCCTATTGATGCAGGTCAAAATCCCATTGGCTTTTTTTGCCGCCACATCACATTGTTGGCTCATGTTTAACTTGCTATCCACGAGGACTCCAAGATCTTTTTCACACGTCCCGCTCTCGAGCCAGGCGTCACCCATTCTGCATCTTTGCATTTCGTTTTTCCTGCCAAAGTGGAGTATCTTGCATTTGTCCCTGTTGAACTTCATTTTGTTAGTTTTGGCCCATCTCTCTAATCTGTCAAGATCATTTTGAATCCTGCTCCTGTCCTCTGGAGTATGGGCTAACCCTCCCAATTTGGTGTCGTCTGCAAACTTGATGATCCTGCCTGACCAGAGAGCTATGGTCAGAGTAGACTCCTATAAGGCAGTGAAACTATATATGTGCATTATATATATACATTATATGGTCAGAGTAGACACGTATAAGGCAGTAAAACTATATATGTGCATTATATATAATATATATGTATTATATAGTATGAGTAGACTCCTATAAGGCAGAAAAACTATATATGTGTATTATATATAATATATATGCATTATATGGTCAGAGTAGACTCCTATAAGGCAGTGAAGCTATATATGTGCATTATATATAATATATATGCATTATATGGTAAGGGTAGACTCCTATAAGTTGACTCCCAACTTTTCCTCCTTCTCTCTTTGTGGTAAGATCAGAAAGGAAAACATTCCCAAGGAATAGTTACCATCTTGAAAGGGTTCAGGTGGGAAGCCAGCCTTAAAGGGCCAGAGCTGCCAAGGCGGGAGCGGCGGAGGGGGCGTTTCCTCGCCTCAGAAGGCCCAGCGAGGCCTACACGCACGCCAAAGCCTCGGGCTCGCGTTGTCCCCTTCCCCGATGGCCTTCAGGCTCCGCGGCTTCTCCCTCCTCGCTTCCCTCCCTCGGCCTGAGGCGACCCGAATGAAGGGAAGGCTCCTCCCGCGCGTCCTTCCCCTCCCACTCCCAGCGCCGCCATCTTGGCCGCAGACTTCCGGACTCCGACTCCCAGAAGCCTCCGCTGCGTCGGGCAACGGGAAGGAATTCTGGGAAATGGAGTCCAAGGAGAAGAGAGGCCTAGAGGCTGGGTTTATTCAGAAGTTTAGGGTATTTTCAGCGGCCTTTCCCTCCTTTGGGATTCAACAGCTGTTGGAGCGGGACAGTATTGGCCCCTTCTACACTGCCATAGAAAATCCAGATTATCTGCTTTTAGCTGGATTAGGTGGCAGTGTAGACTCAGATAATCCAGTTCAAAGCCCATCATGCTTTGATAATCTGGATTATATGGCAGTGTAGAAGGGGCCAAAGAGAAGGCTGGGCCCCCATCTACAATGCCATATTAAATCCAGGTTATTTGATCTGAACTGGATTAGGTGGCAGTGTAGACTCAGATAATCCAGTTCGAAACCAATCATGACGGTTATCTGTTTAGATAATCTGGATTAGATGACAGTGGAGAAGGGGCTAAAGAGAAGGTTGGGACTCCACCTACATTGCCACATTAAATCCAGGTTATCTGATCTGGATTATATGGCAGTGTGCACTCATATAATCCAGTTCAAAGCCGATCATTCGGGTTATCTGCTTTTATAATCTGGATTAGATGACAGTGGAGAAGGGGCCAAAGAGAAGGCTGGGGCCCCATCTACAATGCCATATTAAATCCAGGTTATCTGCTCTGAACTGGATTATATGGCAGTGTGCACTCATATAATCAAAGCCGATCATGAGCGTCATCCGCTTTGATAATCTGGATTAGATGGCATCCTAGAAGGGGCCTTTGATCAAGCTAAAATCGAGGTGCCATCTACACTGCCACATAAATTCCAGATTATTTGACATGGATTAGGAGAGTCTACCCTGCCATATAACCCAGTTCTAAGGAGATCATCAGGATTTGGAACCTGGATTATATGGCAGTGTAGATGGGGCCTTACATGACAACTAATGGCTTAGACTTCCTGCGCTCTCAAAAGGAAACAGAGCAAACGGAGTCCCTTTTCTGGCTTTTTCATGCACCTGGGTTATCTTCCAATCAGACAGATTTTGTGGTGAGGAATAATAGGATAATTTAACTGAAAGCCCTGTGAAGCTTTGACTGCACTTGCTCTTAATTCATCTGGAGAACGAAGGCCTCGTATATGTCATCTTAGAAGAGAGCAAACCTCTCGCCGTTGTTATTGGTTTCAACAGCTTGCCGCCTTCTGCCGGGCCACTAATTCTATGTATTTTAGCTACTCATTTGTACAGGTCTTGTTTTCTTTGATTTTGCCTACAGAACATTTCCCTGGAAGATGGCTAGTATCCTCATCCCTGCTGCTCATGATTCTTCAAAAAGCTGTGCATATTATCATATTATATCTATCTATCCATCTTTCATATACTCTATCTCTACCTTCCATATTTTATCTACTGTATCTATCTATCTACCTATCCATCTTTCTACCTACTTATCTTCCACTATCTATCTATCAATCATATACTATCAGTCTACCTATCTTCCATATTTTTTCTATCTACCTATCTATCTTTCATATACTAGCTACCTATTTTCCATATTCTATCTCTTTATAACAGTGGTTCCCAACCTCTGGGTCCCCAGATGTTTTGGCCTTCAACTCCCAGAAATCCTAACAGCTGATAAAACTGGCTGTGATTTCTGGGAATTGTAGGCCAAAACACCTGGGGACCTACAGGTTGAGAACCACTGCTCTATAATATACTATCTACCTATCTTCCATAATCTATCTGTCGATCTTATACTATCAACCTATCTTCTATATTCTATCTATCTACCTATCTACCATATACTAGTTATCTACATATCTTCCATAATCTATCTGTCAATCATATACTATCAGTCTACCTATCTTCCATATTCTATCTCTCTATAATACTATCTACCTATCTTCCATAATCTGTCAATCATATACTATCAGTCTACCTATCTTCCATATTCTATCTACCTTTCATATACTAGCTATCTACCTATCCTCCATATTCTATCTCTGTCTGTCTGTCAATCATATACTATGTCTATCCATCTTCCATATTCTGTCTACCTATCTTCCATATTCTATCTATCTATCTATCTATCTATCTATCTATCTATCTATCTATCTATCTTTCATAGACTAGCTATATATACCTATCTTCCATATTGTCTCTCTGTAATATACTATCTACCTATCTTCCATAATCTATCTATCTGTCAATCATATACTATCAGTCTACCTATCTTCCATATTCTACCTATCTTTCATATACTATCTATCTACCTATCTTCCATAATCTATCATATACTATATATGTATCTTCCATATTCTACCTATCTTTCATATACTATCTATCTATCTATCTATCTATCTATCTATCTATCTATCTATCTATCTATCTATCTTCCATTATCTATCTTTTTATCTATCTATATATTTATTTATCGTATCCATCCTTTTCTTCTTTCTATCTATCTTCCATATTCTATTTATCTACCTTTCATATTCTTTCTATCTATCTATCTATCTATCTATCTATCTATCTATCTATCTATCTCCACTCTCTCAATCATCATTTACCAAGATGCCTTGGGTCTTCATTAAGAGAGAAAAGAAAGGTGCAAGTCAATATAATAATGGCAGGAATGGGTTGTGGCCACCACTATAAATACATATGGTAGGAAGTAGTTTGAACGCCAGTCGTCCATTGGTTTTATAACTTTTGGGGAAAGTGAGAAAGGTTGAGATGGGCCAAACCAGGCTCAAAATCAGGAAAAGGCAGCCGATCCATTCCAATCCTTTACTTGAAAACACAACTTCCATGCAGAGTTGTTCAGAGTAACCGCTTGATGTCGGCGCGAGCTCCCCTGGCCCTCTCCCAGCCACAGCGGGAGGAACAGCGATTAGCTACAGGACAAGTTATTTCAACCCACAAATGTGTTCTCACCCGAACAGTACAGTAAATGAGTCCTATATAAGAGAACTGCTAACAAAAGAAAAAATAAATCCCAAAAAATAAAAGAAAAAACCTGTACACAACTTTACAAACATATTAACATATAAATAACAGGAAGCTTCCAAGCCAGGAGAGCTCCCACAGTAGTCTTTTCTTTCTTTTTTTCTTTTGCTTGAGACTTAACACTGGAAGGGGAGAACCAGTCCCTTTCCTCAAGCATCACAGGGGGTTGGTTTGTAAGGTTTGTGTTTGTTTTGTTTTCCTCGTTGTCAGTGCCTCTGGCTTCAAGTGAGCAGTCTGTGCAAAGCAGGCACCTCCCCTCACCCTCTGAGAAGGCGCCACGGCGGGCTAAGGCTTCCTCGGCCGGCCGGTCATCGCTCCGGCCCAAGCTCTTGCTGGAAGACGCGCTTCTTCTCCCGACAGTGCTTCTTGTGAGCCGGCCAGTCTTTCTGCTGGCACTGCGAGCCGCAGTACCGGGCCACCTGGCAACGCCCACAGATGTTGAATTCGCGCAACTGGGGAGAGGAAAAGAGGGCAAGAATCAGTACTGAGGATACCCCAAGTCAGCCAACCAAAAGTAGCGTCAGGAAACAGTCTCAAAACATAGGCCTTGATGGAGCCAAAGAAGCCTGATCTGCCCTTGGAGGTCATCTAGGAAGCACATGAAGACACAGGTTCGAAGTTTGGGAGTGATCCTGGACTCATCTCTGAGCCTGGAACCCCAGGTCTCGACGGTGGCTGGGAAAGCTTTTGCACAATTAAAATTTGTGCGCCAGCTGCGCCCATTCCTTGAGAAGTCTGACTTGGTCACAGTGGTCCACACTCTTGTTACATCCCGAATAGACTACTGCAACACACTCTATGTGGGGCTGCCTTTGAAGACTGCCCGGAAGCTTCAACTAGTCCAACGATCGGCAGCCAGGTTGCTCACCGCAGCGATGTACAGGGAACATACAACTCCTTTGTTATGCCAACTCCACTGGCTATCGTTCAGCTTCGGAGCACAATTCAAAGTGCTGGTTTTAACCTTTAAAGCCCTAAACGGTTCTGGCCCAGACTACCTGTCCGAACGTATCTGTCGCAACTCAGGATAGATTCACCTTGCTCAGGACACCACACACACCAAGGCTTTGTAGGTTTTGTAGTTTATTGAAGTCATAAACACCAAAAGTAAGGTTGCAAAGTTCAATAGCAAAGGTAAAGTTCCCAAAGTCCAAAGGCAAATAACATGAAGCTTAATCCATAGGCATTGAACAAGCAAGAATCCATAACAGCATGACAAAGTCCCAAGAAGCCAAAAGCATTACCCAAACACCGAGGCAATCCAGAGAAGTAAACAGGGTGTTTGCAAAAGTTGCACTGACAACAGGCTGACTTCAATCAGCTCATTAAATATACTTCCCTACCATGAAAGCATTTCGTTGACCTCTAACCTCTCGTTTGTTAGCAAGTCGAGCACGAGTACCCTCATTTGCAAGCGATCCTCCCTACCTAAATCTGCAGAGCCTTCAAAGTCGGATAACTCATTATCTTGGGACTGGGAATTGGAGGCCTGAGAATCAGCTGGCAAAGAGCTCACAGACGGAGCAGTTGCCTCCTCCGCCTGTACCTGGGAAGCTTTGCTGAGATCAGAAACATCTTCTAAAACAACATCCCTTGCCATGGGAAACTGCAATTCCTCATCTTCAGTGTCAACATCAGGGACAGAAACATGTTCAGAAATCTGTAACCCATCAACCTCCTCGTCCTGAGGAAGCTCAGGCTGAGCCACAACACTATCTCCTGCCACAAACCATCACGAAGTTTCAGATCTTCAAAAGAGGCTCTGCTCTCAATCCCACCACTATTGCAAACACGGTTAATGGGGACGAGAGACAGGGCCTTCTCAGCAGTGGCCCCCAGCCTATGGAGTGCCCTCTCTAGAGATATCAGATTGGCTACCTCCCTCTTGTCTTTTAGAAGGAAAATCGAGACCTGGTGATGAGACCAAGCGTTGGATTAGTGAGCAGCAAGTGGAAGATCACACAACTTATGGCAATGAATTGA